GAAGATTTTTATAAGAGTTTAATTGGCATAGACAACCCAGAAGAAAAGGCAAACAACGCTGATGGAACTGCATTAGGTTTATTTCGAGAGCGTTTGCAAAGTACCGAAAATAACTCCATTTTGGACCCTCATACAAAGGCCGCTCGTTATGAGCAGGACTTTAAGAGATATAATAAGCTTGTAAGGGATAAAGAAGAGAAACCTATAAATGTTAAACTTAAAAATTTTGAAGAAATTGTAGAAACATTAAATAAAAATGTAGATAAAAATAATGATACTAATAATATTGAAACTAATAAACCTATACAAAAAATTGTTCGCAAAAGAAGGAAAAAGATATCGGGTTTTAAAATTAACAAAAAACTTCTACCGGGTAAATTGAAAGTTCCCCCTAGGGGGATAGCAGACAAAAATATAGAAGTTGAAAGTGATTATTTTTCACAAGAAAGTGATCCAACCACAAGTGAACAAGCTCTTAAATATGTCAAAGAAAATTCTAGATCCTTAGGTATAACAGATGACTTGAAAATAGCCAAAATAATAGGGGGTCAAGAGCCATTATATAATAGTAACGTTGAAAAAATTATAAAATATATACTTTCGAATAAATCTGTTCGTAAGAAACCAATACCTATTGGCTACAACGAATTTATTCGAAGAATCGATAATCATACATACCTAAAAGATTTGCTTCTACCTCCCTCCTCCTCGTCAAAACAAACAGGTAACGGTACATTCTCGTTTAAGCCATCCCTATGGAAAAATCAGAAGAGAAACGAATAAAAATATTAGATCGTTTATATAAGGATGTTAACTCTCCAACTTGTTTTACTTCAATTGAACCTCTCTTGCGGGGGGCTAGAAAATTTAATAAGAATATAACTCGGGACCAAGTTAAAGAATACCTATCAACTCAAAATACTTATACTCTACATAGAAGAGTAGTTAGAAAATACAGTCGAATGCATACATTGGCGGCAGGTTTACATACAGAATGGCAAGCTGATCTAAGTATTTTTGATAGGTTAAGCGGTCAAAATAGAGGTTTTAAATATCTATTAGTTTGTATTGACACACTTAGCCGTCAAATATTTGTTGAACCAGTTAAGAGTAAACAAAGTATGAATATGATTGATGCTTTTAAAAAATTGTTTTCAAGAATAAAAATTGTTCCTTGGAAATTACTAACAGATCAAGGAATTGAGTTTACAGCGAAAGATGTCCAAAAATATTTTAAGTCATTGGAAATGGAGCATTTTTCTATGCTTACGTCTCCGCAATGGCACGCAGGAATGGCAGAAAGGGCTAATCGAAGTATAAAAGAACGACTATATCGCTACTTTACTGAAAAACGAACATTAAAATGGATAGACGTTATTCAAGATATAGTCTCTTCCATAAACCACTCTTATAATTCAAGTATTGGTATGCGTCCTGTGGACGTCTCTTATAGAAATGCTGAAGAATTAAGAAAGAGATTAAAAGTAAAGGCCATTGAAGAATTTGCTCCAAAGCGTTGGAAGACCAAAAAGTTTTCAGTAGGGGATAAAGTTAGAATAGAGAAGTACAAGCATGTATTTCAGAAGGGATATTTGCCAAATTTCACTAATGAGATTTTTATCATCAATAAAATAAGAGAAGTACCGCACCAGCCACCTACATATAGAATTTGTGATCAAGAGGGAGAAATAATAAGGGGGTGGTTCTATTCAGATGATTTGTGTTTGGTAAAGGAACTCAAGAATAATGAAAAATTTTATGATATAGAAAAGGTTTTAAAGAAACGGAGAATCGATAACGAAGATCAGTGTTTAGTAAAATGGAAGGGTTACGCTCCCAAACATAATAGTTGGGTTCCTGCAAGTTCAATTATTTGGAAATAATATAAATAGATGGGCAATGGGAAATACTATTAAATTAAAATGACTTCATTTTATATTGTTTTACCTTCTAATACTAATGTTGACGGGAATAAAACAAATTCGTTCAGAGTTCGATTACCCCATAAATTGCAATTTAATTCAGAATGGTCAGTTGGATTAGCTGTAATGGTTTACCCCCATACATGGCCATCTCTTGGTACTACTTCCGAACAATTTTTTATTGTAACATGGCAGACCGGGGAAATTGTTAGTTTAAAAGTACCTTCCTCTAGTTTTGTTAATCCTCAACAATTAAAAGAAAGTTTGGATAAATCTCTTAATGAAGGTTGTGAAGATTTATCAGAAAAAATGAGGATATTTCATTTAGAATATTTGGGTAAGTTAAAAGAACTTAGAGCCCAAGCAAAGCAAGAATATATCAATTTAAAAGGTGAAAAAAACAAAAAGCTAGCAGATAATACAACCAAAAATGAACACGAACCAGAAGAGAATATTAATATAATGACTGAACCAGAAATATACTCTAATTTACTTTTGGAATACCATAATAGTTTGGATGAAAATAAAAGAAAAATTATTTCATTAACAAGTGATACTGGATTCGAAAAATGGATAAGTGTCTATCGTAAGCCCGGATCTGTGTGTAACTTTGAGTTTTATGCTAAGAAAAATCGTTTCGCACTGACTCTAGATAAAACATATATAAAAAATATTCAAATTACAGATCAACTTGCCTATATTCTAGGGTTTGAATCTTGTGATATATCCGAATCCACGGTAGCAAGATTTATACCTGATATGAGAGGGGGAGTATCATCTTTTCATGTGTATGCCCCTGGACTAATCGAACCCATGGTTATTGGAGATGTAAGTGCTCCTGTTTTACGCATTGTGAATATTAGGGGACAACAAGATGAAATTGTTGAAGAACAATTTCTGTTTATACAGTATCATAAATTGTTAATAAAAGAAATTTATGAAATTTTTATTGAAATAAGAACATCAAGTGGAGCTCTAATGCCATTTCAATATGGAACTTGTACATTAACCCTCCATTTTAAAAAGTCACCCTATTTCTAATTCGTTATGAACACTTTACAAATAAATAAAATATTAAATAGAAATAACATCACAAAATATTATTATATCGGTTGTTTCCCTTCGGATTCTATTCCTTTCTCCATTAATTTTAAAATCTTTTGTATGGTTGTAAATACTGATACAAGTAGGGAAGCTGGTAGTCACTGGATAGCAATATTTTGTCAATATCCAAGTGTAGATTATTATGATTCGCTGGGGATATGGCCCCCAATAAGCTTACATATACGAAACTATTTGAGTTCATTTCAAAGCGTTCGCTTTAATAGAATTCAAATTCAACATCCCTTCCAGTACACATGTGGACAACACGTAATATTTTTCTTGTTTCTGCGATGTAAAGGATTGCACATGGATAAGATAATTAAATATTTAAAAGGAGTTGACGCAGACAAATTGGTTTCAGAATTTGTCTCCGCTAAGATATTTATATAAATAGTTGAGAATTTACTACATTGATATTAAAAATAATGCATATCGAATTTGATCCCTCGCATGTTGATTGGTCAACGTTGACCGATTTATCACCAGACAATTCGGTTCATCAATGGGGTGGTTATAATGTTTTTCGAGGTGTCCCATACCAACGAGGCAGTGGTCTAGGATCCGTATTTAGAAGTTTTTTGCGATACCTGATTCTTTATGGAAAACAAATTGGTAGTGCAATTGGTAGACAGGGTTTGGAATCTGGCAATCGAGTTCTAACAAATGTTTTAGAAGGTAAAGATTTAAAGGAATCACTTATAGATGAGGGTAAATCTGGTCTAAAGAATTTGCTTCAAAAAGCAGCAGACAATGATGACAAACAAAAGGGGAGGGGTTTTGATTTTAAACGTTACAAAAATATTGAGAAACGCCCTGCAATAGGTCAGATGAATAATGATAGTCATGATTTAGAGGTAAAAACTATAAATAAACGACCATATTCGAAAATAGGTCCCCCACATTTTATTCCAAAGCCTTCACGAAAATCGCGCAAAAAATCTACCAAAAAACGATTTCGAGTAGACGCGCTGGGTACATATTAAAATGAGCTGCTGCAAGAAGATAAACGAAAACAGCCCTTTAGCTCTTAATAGTGCCTTGAGTATATTCTCTGTTCCACCAACAAATGTTTCAGTTGTTCGTTCCTTTTTCCGGGAAATCCTTCCCTTAAGTACAATTACCCAAGATTCCCCATATTTATTTCGTTTGTTCAGCGATAATCTCTGGACTGATTTATCTCGTACTTATCTCTATCTTGAGCTTTCCATTGAAAAATTAGGAGGAGACAATAAATGGAGTGCAATTACCGCTACCGATACCAGCATTGCTCCAATTCAGGGAATTGGCCAAACATTTATTCAGCAATTAAAAGTTACAGTGGGAAATAATGAAGTGTACGATAGTGGATCTCTCTATCCTTACAAGGCTTATATAACAAATGAACTTTCGTTCCCTAATAATGTTAAGTCAAACTTTCTCGCATCCATCGGATATTATAAAACTGATAAGCATGATGATAGCATTGACTTTGGTTTCCTAAAGCGAAGTTCTATATTTTCAAATGGTAAGAAATGCCAATTTCTTTCTCGCTTAGATTTTGATTTGGGAAATCAGGAACTATTTTTATTAAATAATTTAGATGTTAATTTTAGCATTTATAGATCTAAAAATTCATTTGCCTTGCAAAAGCTAAACTCTACTGATGAAAACCAGTATAGACTCTACGTTCATGACGTTAAGCTTTTTGCAAAAATGATCGAAGTTCAACCATCTCTTAACATGAATATTTACAAGACTCTAGAGTCTAAACCTGCCACTTATGCAATTCGCAAAACTGAAATTAAATCAACTTTCCTTACTGCGGGACGAACTGAAATAGAATACAATGCATTTAGTGCAAGCATCCCGCGGCGAATCACAGTTGCACTAGTAGGTAACAAGGCCTTCAATGGAGATTTTGCTCTATCTCCATTTAATTTTTTGCACTATGACTTGCGAGATATTTCAGTTCATACTGGCGGCCACATCTACCCCATGGTCGCCTATAAATTAAAATTTAACGAAGATCTCTTTGTTCGCGCCTATGTTGACATGTATGAAGCATTGGGCATGGCTAATTCAGATCGCTCCTTCGATATTTCAATGGAAAAATTTAAAAGCGGCTGGACCTTCTTTGTAATCCCCTTAACTTCCACATTAGATGATTCATGCGGTTTCGAGCTTTTGCGAAGTGGTACGACAAGTATTCGCTTAGAATTCAATACTCCAATTCCCACGGGGGGTGTTGAAATGATTGTTCTAGGGGAATTTGATCAGATGCTCATGATTGACTATAATCGCCATATTGTATCTGACTCAAATTTGGGTTAATACATAAGAAGCCTTTTCTATTTCAATAACAAAAATGCAGAATATTTCTGACTTTGGTAATTTCTCCAATCAATCATTTGATTTTTTGACTATAGAAAATGAATATATAAATGCCCCGATGCCTTATGAATTATTGATTTTAGTAATACAATACACACTATTATTACCTATTATTTTCCTCTGTTGGATTTTAATGCTTAGGTTTTTAAGGACCCATGGATATATTACTCAGACTCAAGCAGACAATATGATAGATACTCTAAGAAACCTCCCATTAGATGAATGATTAGGTTTAAGATACATTAATCGTGCCCGCTCAACTCATCGAATCCTTAACTCATCGAATCGGCCAAAAACGCTCAACTCATCGAATCGGCTAAAATTCCTTAACTCATCGAATCGGCCAAAAATACTCAACTCATCGAATCCTTAACTCATCGAATCCTCAACTCATCGAATTGGCCAAAAACGATCAACTCATCGAATCCTTCCAAAAGGGGAGTTTGAGTCCCCGTGTTTATTTTTCTCCTGAAAGGGCTAACTGAATCTTCGGTGAAAAAATTTTTTGCTGCTATGGAGGCTAGGAAAAAGGCCTTTTGGGCATAATCGGGGCCTACTGGATTAATCTGGTCCGGTTTTACCCGGTAAAATCTCCATCATAATTTACCAGGAATGTGAGAAAACATTCTCATTATCTGATAATGTTTTCACTGGCCGGATAGACTTGGATGAGTGCCCGATCAACTAATTAACAAAATTAGTTGAACCCCCAGAAGAAAACAAAAAAAATAAACAAAACAATAAAAAATCTAAAAAAAATAAACACAGGGACTCAAACGTCCCCGTTTGGGAGGATTCGATGAGTTGATCGTTTTTGGCCGATTCGATGAGTTGAGGATTCGATGAGTTAAGGATTCGATGAGTTGAGTGTTTTTGGCCGATTCGATGAGTTGAGGATTCGATGAGTTAAGGATTCGATGAGTTGTAGGGTAGCCACATTAATAGTAAAAGTAAATTAGCTTCTTGGTAGCTTAGTCGGTAGAGCATCCGCCAATAAATGAAAGGTCGCCAGTTCGATCACTGCCAGCGGCTTTTATTTTAAAAGTATTTTTAAAAATTGGCAACTTGGCAGTTGACATTTTGTCCCTGGACATTTCATCCCCCGGCATTTTGGCCTGTGACATCTGTCCCTTGACATTTTGTCATGTGGCATTTTGTCGAATGACCAAATGGCAATAACTGGCCAGCCCTCTCCTCCGGCCGGCCAGGGAAAAATTTCTCTAACCCCCCCTCGCCCGATATTTGTCTCTCCAATAATCGTGTAGTCTATCATCAATCAATAATTTATTAGTGGACATATAGTAGTATTGAGTTTGATTCATTTTTTAATTTTGAAACTCGTAAAAATGTATTTTAAAAAAAGGTATATAGTTCTAGAAAAAAGGCTAGTAACTTAATATTATAATTCCAATTATCAAGTTTAATATTGAAATGAAAAAATTTTTCATAATTATATATTTATAAAGTATTAAAATGTTAATAAATACTTTATTGGCTCGTGAGAAACATCTGTCCTTAATGTATCCCCAAGAATTAATTTTGTTGACTTTAACTTTAAATTTCAAATTATTAAATTGCTACTAACAAAATATTTTCAACAAACAATAATTGATAAATGTTAAAAGGATAATTATGAAGGAGAAAAGTCTAATTTTTAGTGTGTATATATAAAAATTGTACACTATTACAAAACCTTAGTTGCACAAGAAATTGTGGTAATTATTTTTTCATCTCCCCAGAAAAAATAAGGAAGAAGTGACTTTTCGATATACTTGAGGGTTGAGTAAGTAGTTTATTTTGCTGAGTCCGAATATGGGTTCAAATTTTATTCGTTTCGAATCCCGAACCCGTATTCGAGCTGTGAGTTCATAAGATTATTATTTCATTTTCAAAGTTGAATTCCTTACTCTTCTTATTTTTTCTGTGGAGGTGAAAAAATGAGAATAAATGCGTCATATAAACTTAATTTTTACCATAATTTCTTGTTTTTCTGAGTGTTATGTTGTTAATTGTAGTTATGTGTAACTAAAACTCGTGGTTTATTGCAAGGATAAGTAAGCTTTAGTTACTTATCAGTGGAAAAGAATTATACATAAAAAAACTGCAAAAAATCACAGATTTAGCAAAACTGATTTCATAATTCAAAAATTTTGAAAATTATCTATCTTGTTTTCATTTAAAATAGTGAGGTTTACACGTATTGGGCCACCCAGTAAATTAAATGAGGCGAGGTATCGACACCGTGAGGGCTACTCTATCTTCAAATACAACGTTGTATGTGCTCCGTTAGAAGCAAAGCTTAGGCCCTAATTGTTGCGCATAAAATAATATTTATTTAAATGTAAAATTTAAAATCGCGATTGAATAAAGTAAAGTTAAAGCTAACAAAATTATTAATAATATAATTGATTATAGAGTCGACATTGAATAACAAAATAGAACGTTCCCGGGAAAAGAAATTTAGCGCTTATTAATAAACAATTAGCTAGCGTCGCTGCTCTCCGACAAAGTGATCGCTTTTCTTCTCCCGTTGGGCCCAACTAGACTGATCCCTTTCAACTGTTTTCCCATGCATTAAATAATCCTATCCTTATCCTTATAGGGCGGGTGCTTAAGTGTTCTTCCTGCTTGTCAAGGACAAGCACGGCCTTACACCTCCAACCTGGGGGAAGACCGGACCCTCGGTCTTGAAGACCGCTCTTGATGCATTGAATGTGGGCTACGAGAAAGTGCACTTTATTGTGTCTTTTCTTTGAATATTTTTCCAAGTTTTTTTTGTTTTTTTTTTTTTTTTGGAATTTTTTCTTTTTTTTTCGTATTTATTCTAATAGACTTAACATTTTCGGCTGCCATTTTAGGTTATATTACACCTGTCCGAAGGGTTGGTAAACGAGTCAGCCCATTAGAATAAATCTACTATGTTTACATTGTTTTTTTTTTCAAGATTTATCGATTAATGCTTTCTTCTTTTCTTGTTTTTCTGTTGATTGAGAAGGTTGTTTTTTTCATTTTTCTTTTGATGATTTTACTGGGCCTGTGTTGGTGCCTAGTTGTTTTTTTTTGGTTTCTCTGTTGTTTTTCAATTCTATCTGCCTTCAACCTTATCGAGGACCGTCCCTGGTCCGTTAAATGATGATTGCTTTTTACATGTTTTTTTTTTTAACTTTCTGATGATTTCTTTTCCTTTTCCCTTTTTTTTTATAATGCGCTTTTATGTTTTTATTTATGGTTCGGAACTCGCCTTCGGCTTTTGTCCTCTTCCATTTTATTTTTAACTTTTTTCTTGCAGTTTTTGTTGAAAAGTTTGTCTTTTGATGATTTGTCTGAGAGAGTTGTTTCTCTTTGGTTAAATTGTATCTTTGCAGGCCCTGTTGTTTTTGGGTTTTTGTTGCATTAAGATCGTTGTCAGGTAAACAATTACAATGAAATTACAATCATGCGGGTCAGGGAACAAGATTTATAAAACCCTTGTACCCAATGCATCTTTTAAAGTGTCCCTTTATGGTAGGAGATGTTAGACCGTTAAATTACTCGGCTCCTTTTTTTAAAAGATTTGCTGCGCGTGCATCTATATAATGCGTCGCTTGTCTTTCGGGGTTTTTCACCTGTGTTTGCTATTCAATGTCTTTTCAAATTTGTCCCAATAAGTTTAAGTTAGTGACAAAAAATAAGTATTTAGAGGCTGTGAGTAAAGTTACAAATCTAGAGGCTAAGACAAAGTCTTCTAGAGGCTAATGATCAAGTGTACATTTGCTAGAGGCTGTTAAAGTGTGTGTTACAAGAGGCTATTATACTAGAGGCTAAAGTAAAGTTATAAAATATTTTTTTTTATAAATCCTCTTATCTTCTGTACATGCAATTTATTTTCGTGTGTCCCTGTTGTCCACACCAAGAGCACGGCGCATGAGGGCAATTGTCTCTTTGATGTCCCATTATGTAACAATATCCACATGGTCGTCGTGGGCACTGTCCTTTCAAATGAGGAGCTATTCCATGACAAACCATACAAGGAGAGTAGTCACAAATGTCTTCGTGCACATTCGGGACAATCGAATGACAGCCACTGCACTGTGTCACCTGTGGGACGTTAGAAGGCAAAGGGACCCCTATTATTTGTTTTTGATAAATTCCCCCTATTACTGGTCCACCTGACTGTTGAGGGTGTTGGAATTGATGTTGTGGCGGTTGTGGCATCTGCACTGGTTGTGTCCATTGAGGTTGGCTCCCTGGAGGTGCAGTTGAGGGTCCATAATATCCTTGATATCCACCTGAAGCCGGTGTTTGTGTTGAGGTTATCTGTACAGGCTGTATGGCCTGTCCGCTAGTAGATTGGGTGCTCTCGCACTCCATTGCTTGTTGGGTCTGTGGTGGCTTTCCAACTAAATTACTATCAATTTTCATTTTTTCGTAAAAGTCCCACGCGATTGGTATCTCACCTTTATAATCGGCAATTACCCCATTCACCCTTTGAATATTACCAGCCTTCATTAGCTCAATGAACGCCGGCGTCACTACCACTGTTTGTTTACATGCCTCAAGGACAAATTTCTCCCAAACTTCTCCTTTTTGGCATAGGAATGGTAAGTCCCCAATCACAATTAACCCGTAACGGGCCCTGGACAACGCCACATTAGTCCTACGCGGATCAGACCAAAACAAACCCTTTTCCTCCTCACTAGATTGCTTCTGTTGCACACTAGTTTTGGTGGTTGTGAGAATGACTAGATCCGCCTCTTGTGATTGTATTGCGTCACAAGTCGAGCAAGTGACATTTGACCAATTATACTCTTTAATAGCTCTCCTAATGTTAGATACCTGCGCAGTGTACAGACCAATTACGAGAATTTTCATTCTCCTAGAGGCTAGTGGCGGGACTAACTCATTTAATAAAGTTACCGTTGTGATTGTATGCCCACCGTTGGTCAATGAGAAGGACGTTGGGTCCATCTCCACTGCTGTATTTTGCTGAATCAAAATTATCGGAGTATTTTGAATCGGTAAATTCAATCCTATTTGATTAGTCAGCAGGTCCCTTTGGGATTCATTTAGTCCTGGCCTTAGTTGTTCTCCATTTGGCTCATAGACACTCAATGCCAAGCAGTTCACCAGTTTAGGGTGCGATCTGTAAGATGTTGTAAGTCTCACAAAACTTACCCCATTACAGTCCCTCAATCGGTCCAATACCGAATTCATACCCAATTTGTCCCTTATGACCAAGGGTTGAGAGGGTTGGTGTACCTGCAGCTGCAAGTAGTCTCCGGTCATCAGCAATTTCTTCAAATTAGGAAATTGTGACACACTGGAGATTACGCTGTTATGTTGGGCTTGGCCAACTTCGTCAATCACCATATGGGTGATCAGTGGTGAAATTACCTCCTTCTTCGGATCTGGACTATCAGGACTGGCGTCGAGAAAGAGTTGGAGTTCTTCTGCCAAAGAGTGTGTCATAAATATGACCTTAAACTTTTTGATTTGGGTTAACTCAAATGCCACTGTTCTCTCTTGGGCTATTTTAGGTGCAACCTTCACATCACGCTCATACCTTTCAACCTTTTTCCCAGCTCGGGCCATCAATGGATCCCTAATGTCCTCATCCTTTATTCTCCAAACCAATAAGTGACTACCTACCTGTTCAATTCTCTGTTGGTATTTAAACTTTCCACTACCAGAGAATAAAGCAAGCATTGGAACAACCTCACCTGCTACGGACATGGCCTTGGTTGTGTCCTCGGCCAACTCACACACTGCAACATTAATTGGGGCCACTGCCAGTACAACTGCATCAGGATGGCGTCTGATAGCTGCCGCTATAGCGACTCCTGAAACTAATGTTTTGCCCGCTCCGGGAGGCGCCTGCTGGTAAAGCAGGCGCGTCTCCCCATCCAGAAATAATTTTACCGTTTCAAGTTGTTGTGGATTTAGCCTTCTCATTGCCGGGTGATCATTTTCTAAAGGATTAAACGTGCATGGGAGTGGTGGGTCACCTTCAATACCTATTAAAGTACGTAAAATTGGGGCAACCATGTGACCTGAGTGGGCCAATGATAATGGGAACCCACTAGACAGAACGTCCTCCCTACGTTGGAGCCTTTTGAGATTGGCGATTGGTGTTATCTGCACTTCCCAACCTTCACCGATGATACCTTCCCAATGTTCGTAGCTACTTTCATAGTTATGGGCTTCCTCATGACGTGCCCTGAGTAGTACTTCAAACCAAAATCCTTCTGCATTGACACCCTTTGTGATTTCTTTTACTTCACCTTTCGCACAAGGTTTCAAGTCCGGATCATTTACTTTTATTAAACACGGAGTGTCCGCATCAAAAGCACTCGTGTACGCTTCCAAGTCTGCGAGGGTATTCGGTCTGTATGAGAACCATAACTCTAGAGTGTTTTCCAGAGTTTTTTCTCGCGCACGATCTTCAGCGGACCAGTTAAGCGTTGTTACTACTGCACATTTTCTAAGAGCTTGGTCCTCACGATTACGATGACACGCAGCAACTGCGGCTAATGCTGCCATAGTTTTTTCTTGTTGGTCTTTAGTGTGTGTTGGCATTATTGGGTATTTTTCTTGAACTCTTGAGGGCCTCAAACCAATTATAACATCGTTCTGATGTGCCCAATATTCATCTCCCCTTTTAAACGGAGTCTTTTCGGGTAATATATAGTTGTTCCCCATTCTCCACACCTGCGGGTTAATTACTTTGGCTAATTCTACTTCAATAATTCCTCCTTTTTTCAATTGATGGGGACGAATTTGTGTCATTTGTCTAGTGTTTATTAGCTGGCTTCTTAACATGTTTGGGGCCATTACCTCAGCCGATAAGAGTTTGCCCCTTTTCATTTTAATATTTTCTATTATGCCTGTTACCCAATTTCCAGGTCTTAGAAGTACCATTTCGGCTTTTGTTGCCGTCGCTTGGTGTTGTATTGAGCCAGAAGTCATCCAAGGCGTATACCTTCCAGAATAATCCTGCATATAGTCAACTGCTAACTTACCCAATTTTTCAAACCCTTCTCTGACTTCCCACTCCTCAACGAATACCAAATCACCCATTTGTAGCCTACGACTTGGGTTTGTAAAGACAGTGTCTGGAATTTCCATGAAAAACGGACCTACTCCAGAAATCCTCGCACCAATTACCCGATCTTCGACTGCCCTTGCGATTAAATATTTCGGTACCCCTTTATCCTTTAACGTGGGGTCACCTGTATCAGCGTCAGGACTAGCCGTAACCCTGCATTCATCTGGGAGATCATTTGGGTTGATTCCCGACTCTTCCTGGGTGTTCTTTTCCGTTTCTTTGTTAGGAGTATTTTCCCACCCCGAACTCGATGTGGCCCACTCATTAGATGTCCTTTCTTTTTGCTGGTCCATTACCGTATCTATTACAAACGTTGTATTGTCACCGTGCGATGACTGATTATTATTTACTCCACTTGGGTCTTCAGGAATTACCTCTTGACACTCTTGAGATTGAATGTTACCTTTTATAATTTCACGCACCTTTACTAGTATTTTTCCCATTTTATTCAATCCAAACTCCTTCGAGTTTGGCGACCAGTCTTTAAGACTCGGATCATTTTGATATTTCCCAACACCCCAAATTGGGTCATTCCCATTTGCTTCTACTATCCAATTATCTTTTGTACCAATTAATAACTCCCCTAAATGTTTATTTTGTGTGAATTTTTGGATTACTAATGCTTCGAGTATTTGTTCACTCTTTTCATTCCATTCCTCCCTTTGTTTTTTATTACCTTCTATTTCTTTTCCTAAAAATTTATACTCTCTTGGGTGAACACCTTTGAACGTTGTTTGCGCCCCGTTAGAGGCAATAATTTTTCTACTCTTATTTGTTAACTCACTCACCTCATCCATGTGAGTCATCCCTTTCACCTGATTCAGAATATCCCCACGATTGAAAAAGGCTGCCTTGGCTGCTACATATGCTTGTTCAGTGCAGCCCCACTCATAGTTGTCGTAGTTAAATTTAGCATACGCAAAGTTGGAGAAGGGGTGATCTTTCCCCAAGAACGGATAAATCACCCCTTTATTATTTAATTCAATGATGGGTAATTCATTACTAATTATATTAACGTTGTGTGAGCGCCATTGACGCATAGAATTTTTAATTTCCATTTTTTTTAATTAAAGATTTTTCTGAAAATTTAAAGTGTATATGCATATTATTTTTTAATTTTTTTCTCAAAGAAAAACCGCGAAATGAAAATAACAAATTAATTATCCGCGCCAAAATATTAATATAATTTGAGACAAAAACTATTAAGAAATTTGACTTATATGTATAAAAGTATGAGTAACAAGATTAAATAGAAGAAATCTTAAATGATTAAAGATTAATTAATATGAATATTAATTGAAAATGCTTAGAGTTTACTTAAAAATATTATATTCTCCATCATCTTTTTTTTTATTTATAACCAATTATTTATATTTTCCTGGTTTAGTTATCTTGTTACGGTCACGTAAATCATAACCATGTGAGTGTTTTACGACTTCTACTTCATGATTACCTGTTTCGGGATTAGGTTCATTAGGTCTCGAATTTTCTTGTTCCCTGGTATGTTCATAGATTTTATCCTCTATAATAAGGTTATCTTTTGGAATTTGTTCTTCACTTTCGTATGGAATTGTGCAAGGAGGACCGAGGTACTCAAAACATTTTTTGATTTGATTAATATGAACTGTTTTACTTGGTGAGTTTGGAGAGATGCAACTAGATATAGTCGCATATATACCATCTAGATTAATAACCCTATAGATACCCTTCCAATGTAGTTGGAATTTCTTAGCCGTCCCTATTTTTCCTGTATAATTTCTAAGTAGAACTCTGTCCCCTATTTTTATACTTGATTCCCTAAAAAACTTGTCATATTGATTTTTCATCTTTTCTTGCGCCTTTCTATTCGAGTCCGCTGCAATCTCCCAAGCACTCCTAAGAGACCGAATGAGCTTATATTTAAAGTCGGGTTCATCTATAACACTGGCGTGGTCATGAATTCTGGGGTCAAGGATTTGATCAACACAAAAAATAGGGTCTCGACCAAACATCATGAAAAAAGGTGTCTCATTTATTGATGCATGGACCGAGGTGTTATAACAAAAGTTCATAAAGTCTAGAAACTCATCAAAATCTGGTTGTTCTTTTGTTATATATTTTGCTAACATATTATTAAAAGTTCGGAATGTCCTTTCAGTAACCGCATTGCCCTGCGACCAGTACGGAATAGCATACGTTTTGTTTATATATAACATATTACAAAACGCTTTAAAAAAGTCTGAGGTGAAAGCCGTCGCGTTATCAGAAATTAATTCTACACACCCACCAAATTTAAGGTAGCAATTTGTTAAAAAGGCTTTGGCTATTGTGTTTGCTTTTGCGTCAGGGAGCGGTACAGATATCACATATTTGCAGAACCAACAGATTATGTTTAGTATGTATTTATTACCATTTTCAGTTATTGGAAATGGTCCTGCCAGGTCTAATCCTACTCTTGAGAATAAAGTGTCAGCAGGTACCATATTCATTTCAGCTCTATAAGCTGGTGTGGGAGAATGTCTCAGTTGGCACGTAATGCATTGTTTGGTCCAAGTTACTATATCGGAATGCATTTTTGGCCAATAATATTTTTGACATTTCTTTAATGTTTTCTTTACTGATAGATGTCCTCCTCCTAACTGAGAAGAGTGGAATGAGTCAAATACTAGAGATCTGAGGTTGGTGGGAACAAAGATTTTTGCTTGAGATCCTGGTGTTTTAAAAATTAATAGTTCATTTTCTATGTATAGGTTCTTTGCTTTTTCAGAAAAGTTTTCTTTTTCCGTTTCACTAAAACCCTCTGGTATCTCCCCATCTGATAAAAATTTGATAAATGCTTTTGCCTCTGGGTCATTTAACTGCTCTTCTTTTATGTCTATTGTGTATGGGTTCTCGTCTTTATTTCGCACCACTAATGTATTGATAAATGAGTCTGACGCGATTCTAGTTTTTTGCTGAATATTTAGACATACGGGGAATTCTGCTATATCCTTTAATTCTTCTATATTTTTAATTTCTGTTTGTGTTTCTTCTTGAATTCTTGATAATGCGTCAGCTAAAGAATTTTGTTTGCCCTCTATATGAACTATCTTTATTTGGTAAGATTGTAGCTCTATTAGCCAGCGGGCCAGGTTTGGGTGAGCTTCTGCCTTTTTCAAAAGATATGACAAGGGTTTATGGTCCGTGTGCAGTTCAATGTCAGACATAAATATATAAGGCTTAAATTCCCTTAATGCATAAATTATTGCTCCTAGTTCTATTTGGACTGGTGGCCATTTTCTTTCAGAGGACGATAGGGTTCGACTACAATAGGAGATAGCAGAGTATGTTTTATTTTCTTCATCCCTTTGCATCAGGACCCCAGCCTGTCCAACCATAGAGGCATCAGTAAATATATGGAATGGCTTACTGTAGTCAGGGAATTTTAGTATAGGGTAATTTGTTAATAATTCTTTTATTTTGTTAAATGCTTTTTGTTGTTCTTCCCCCCATTCAAATTTTACTTCCTTTTTTGTTAGTCGTGTTAATGGTTCGACCCAATGTGAGAATTTCGGTATATGTCTTCTGTAAAAAGATGCCATTCCTACTACTCTTTTAATTTCTTTTACATTTGTCGGATTCGGTAAATTTTTTATTATTTCTATTCTAGAAAGGTTTGGATGATACCCGTTAGAGTCAAGAGTGTATCCCAAAAAATTCATTTTTCGCGTTGCGAATGTGCATTTTTTAGGACTTAATTTGAGGTTGAATAAGCGAAAACGTTCAAAGACTTTTCTTAAAGTGAGTAAATGTTCATCAAAGTCAAGGGACTTAGTGTAAATTAAGATATCGTCTACATATGAAATTACGTGTTCTAATCCACTAAGCACATTAGCCATTGCTCTGGAAAAAGCTGCTGTGGCATTCTTTAAGCCAAATGGCATATGGGTCATTTGGTATACGTTATCCTCAGTTATAACCCCGCATTTCCTAGAAGCATTTTCTGTTAATTTTATTTGCAAGTACCCGCTTGCTAAGTCTAAAGAACTATAATAATTACAATTTCCTACTTTCTCCATGATTACCTCAAGTCTAGGAAGAGGGTAATGATCTGGTACTGTTATTTCATTCAATTTCCTAAAGTCAAGACACGGCCTTATTCCACCATCTTTCTTTTGTACTATAACAAATGGTGTTAACCACGGTGTGTCCGATTCAACCATAACACCTGCTTTGGTAAGCTGATCAATGTGTTTATGTAATTCTTCCCTATATTTAAATGGGGTTTTCCTTGGACCTACTGCTACTGGATCCTGAGTTGTGGTTATTATATCGAATTCTCCCGCTGTATACGAGCCGAGGTCGTATTGATTTTTACTAAAAATATCGCTAAACTCTTCACATAATGTTTTAAGTTTTCCTAAATCATTCTGATCTACTGAACATTTACTATAGTCAATTACAAATTTTGGGTCTATTTCATTTTCTTGTGATTCTAGTTTTTTGTCATTTTCCAACGTAAATATGCCTGTTTCAATTTCACCTTCTATTTTCCATGCTTTACCTAATGTCTGATTTTTATACAATTTAATCGGGCTTTGAGTGGGATTGAGAACTAATATTTTTAGCGCATTGTTATTATACTCAGATATAGTTGGGATTGTTCCTAAATGCATTTGACTTATTTTCTCATCAAGATTGTTTATAAAATATGCTTGCTTGCTTGCTGAGTGTTCGTCTAACCTTCCCTCAATAATTGTTTGTGAATTCGGTTTTATCAAAAGTGCTTCTTTTACTGATATTTTAAAACAACCTTCCTTAACTGGTTCATATTTTTCCTTTTCATCTTCCCCTATTTTAAATTTTCTATTTTTAAAATCAAAGGTTAGGGAGGGCCACAGTTCAAATACATCGCATCCTAGAATTAAGTCAAAGTTTTTATCCTCAAATATGTTATTGTCTATGAAGAATATTGAGGTGTTGCATTCAATATTACCTAATATTACTTTTACTTCCCCTTTATTAAGCGCACTAATTGCATGACCTGAAGCACTAACTGCTTCTGCTTTTGTAGGCACTAAGTTCCAATTATTTTTAATTGCCAGATTAATGGGTGCTACTGATATGCTTGCTCCCGTGTCCAAGAGACACCTTAATTTTACATTATTTATCATTACAGTAGTGGTAGGAAGAGACTGACTGTGTCCTTTTATTGCGAGAAGATTTAACCCCTTAGGCTCCTGCGGAAGGATCGGAGTGTATTTGATTTCTGGGTTTATTTCTTTTAATTCTATAGTTTGGGTTAATATTTGTTTTGGCCGGTCTACATTGCTTTTTGCTTCCTTTGGTTTGTGTTGGGTCCTGTATTTTTGTCCAATTAGTATATCCCTTATTATTCCATTACCTAAGTATCTTTGCATCATAATAACTAGCAACCTTAGGGTGAAATCAATCAGCGATATACAAGTTATTATAGTTATAAAGATTCTCCATTCATGGGTCCAGTCACCAAAGATGTGATTACTAAATTCACTTTTTGCTTTTTGCCATGTGTTCGAAAATTCTGCTATAATTTTGGTGTCTTTCTGTCTTATTTGGTAAGTTATTTCACTAATTTTAAATGCATTACTTAAATGGGCATGAGTGTTAATATCTGAGATATTTACTAATACCAATTGGTGAAAGGCTTGACTAGATAGAGGTTGTATTTTTTCAAAACGAGGATTAAACGTTTCATGGTTCCTTGGATTTATCTTTCGCATAGTCGCGGTTACCTGGTCTACTTCAAATGTATCATTCTCTAATTGGATTATTATTAAACGCGACATTGCACAGTCAGTCTTATGGGCATCGTGAACAATCTTCATTGTTTTAGGGTCTATAAACGCAAAATGCTGTTGCTTTTGTGAGATAAAGCTAATAGGTAAATGTTCAAAACATTCTGTTACAGAGCCAGTGGGGACGAACCGGAATTGTTCATGTGTGATAGGAATACAAGGCCATACTTTTATAAGATTGAATCCCATTCTTTCTGCATGTATGTCTGGGTTATTAAATATTGTTCGTGCTAGTATTGTAGGGTCAGTTAGTAGTGCTAGTTCAGCCCATCTCCAAGTATTTTCCATAAAATCACACAAAGTCTTCATTGTATGAGAGAAGGTAAACGATAGCGTGCTTGATAATTGCGTGTGTAAGTATGTCAATTCAGAGGCTAGTTGGCTTGCTGTCACTATCCCCTCTAGTGCCCTTTTATTCCGTTTATATATTGGCTTAACTTTTTCCTGAATTATGAGGTATGCTAGACCCTGCTCTGTTGGATTTACTTTTTGCCCACAGTTTGTGCCCGTATTCTTTGTTTTTATATCAGTAAGGGCAAGTGGGTGCTGGGACGCAATCCACAAATTGTCAATTACAAAACCATCATAATCCCCTATAGATAGATATTCACAGTTAGCTTCCGGGACTATCTCCCATATTAAATGTGTTCCATCAGTTAAAGAACAAGACCCCTTTTTATAAGTGCATTGAATGTTTTCCTCTAATGGGGTCTGAATGTTTTTCTCGCCAAACCTTGAAGTGATTGGAGTTTTAAAGAGGTAACAATTTTCAGTGTACACCCTTTCCCAATTAAATGATCCTAAAAGCCACGTCCTTGGTGTTAAGTCTAATTTAAAGTCGGTATGAAATAACTCCCCCTCCTGCTTCAGAATTCCCCATTCGCATTTTTTGTATTTAATCATATTTTTACATTCTTCATGTGTTACTATGATTGGGTCAATACTTAGAGGTTTCTCAATATGAACTCCTGTGAGTGAGGTATATTTCGCCATTGCTTTTCTAACTTTTCTGCATGCCCACGCCTTTGCGGTATGTTCCAGGTTATTAGGAGAATATATTCGCCTTCTTTGCGGTATAGGACTTTTTGACAAATTTGTATTTTGTTCAGGGCATCCAGGAAATTTAGGAAGGTTCCAGAGTATCCCGTGTTCTCTATTTTGGCATATAAGAGGATATTTGGGAAATGGTATATCTGCATTAGCTATTGGGAGCATAAACATCATCAACGTTAGTGTTATGTAAAATAGCTGTTTCATTTTAGGAGCTGTGGAGGTTTGTTCCCAATCAGATATACTTGATTCAACGTTGTATGGTTCCCGGTTGAGAATGGGTTCTGTTCTATTCGTTTGACCCTGACTTTTATATTCAACAGGTGCACTACACTTTGCGGACTCATATAAGTTCATATTTTGCATTTGACTTGATAATGTGGAGGTTTCTACACTCTGCGGATACACTTGAATTTCTTTCGGATAATTGTTCATTGGGTTACCTTGATAAAATACTTGCGGGGACGTGTGATAATACCCTTGGGAAAGAGTGTTTGAAGAGCCCGGGGAATAAGTTGGCTGGTTGTTCATACTCGTCATAAATGTGTGCGTGTCCGTATATTGTTTGTTTGAGGATTGAATCATGTTTATACCCTTGTTATCTCCTAGTCCCATATTTGCTCTATTTTTTGAGAAATTTCGCCCACCTCTAACCACTGCATTGCTGTTTGTTGGCATCTGTTTCCTTCTCCAACAATTGTATGCAATATGCCCAGTCACGCCACAATGCGTACACATAGGTCGCCCACTCCAGTTTCTTTCCCCATATCCTCGGCGGTTGTTTTGGTATCTTCCATTTCTTTGGTTTGCAGAGCCACCACGCCTGAAATTTCGATAATTATTGTTTGGTCTTTGATTAGTGCCAAAAGGTCTTTGAGGTTGGTTTTGGTACGATAGATTATTTGGAACTCTGTTATTATTATTTGAGATGGGAGTCCATGAGGTTATATTCTGATTAGTGGAGTGGTCAACTTGCGGTTGTATAGCATTTATGGCTCGTTTTAACGCTTCTTCTTGTGAATCATTTCCAGAGGCTAAAAGCGCTTCAATTTCCTGTGCCTTAATGTAGAGTTCATCCAGACTCGTAGCGGTTCCTACAAGTCTAATCAAAAAACTAATATTGGGTTTTAATCTTTCTAAAAATTCATCCCTTATTTTTGCCTGTTGTTGTTCTTCAGTTTCATTTTCGAAAGTTGCTTTTACTAATGGGGTTAGACGTTTCATAAACTCAGAAACCGTTTCAGATGGTCTTTGTCTACATAGAGTAAGCTCACGTTTGAATAATTCCCTTCTATGCGGGGCTGTCAATCTTTTCCTTATAGAAGCTAGGGCCTCTTTTACTGTTCTTTTTTCATTTTCCTCTAATTTATCGAAAATGATTCTAGTTGTTCCCTCAAGGTATAATTTTAGTCTATGTATTTTTGTTTTTTCGTCCCAAGTAGTGGGGGCACAATCCATTAGGTCAGTGAATTTCTGGGCCCAAGAGTCAAAAGACACTACAGACTCTTCCCTGTATGTGGTTGTGGCTCCCTCTTTGTCTAACAGGCTTAACATGTTTAATTCCAATTTTAATGGTTCGATTTCCTCAATTCCTGTGTTTTCCCCATTATTTTTATTTTCATTAAACTTATCGACTTTAGAAGAGATTAATGCCACTTTTGAGTTTACTGTTGATAAATGTGTGTTCACTTCCATTGCCATTTGATTTATAGCATTTGTATTGCTGTTTGCTCTCCTGTTGATTAATCTGATGTTTCTGTTTAATGAATCTTCAAGAGTGTGTGTAGCTTGTAGTAGTTTATCCAAATCAGCAATTTTTGCATATTCTTCGTTGCTTTTACCCCGGTAGAGGTTTTTATTGATGAATGGAGTTTCTGATTCTATTGGATCTGTCTCACTCATCCACCAGTTTGTTTATTGTGCTTGTAAAGTTTATTTTCTAAATTTCAAAAATTAAAAAACTCCAAAATTTATTTTCAAAACTATAGTTTATTTTCTAGATGCAGAAATTTATTTTTTTATTTTGTTAAAATTTCTCACAACCTAACATTTATCTTTAAACTTAACTATTTCAATAACAATTTAAATTGTGAATTTGTTTCCCTAATGCTTAATACTATATTAATAATTCTATTGTAATTTTAATAATGGTTTGTCAGGCTTTTCTTTTTTTTTTTATATAATGGTTGGACAAGCTCTTTTATTTGATAACAGTTAAAGATTAGAAGTGTTTACATTGCTTCTCATACATTTATCCTTTTTTCCCAGCCATTAAATTTTCAACTTGTAATAATTTTATCCCGTCTTCTTTACTTTTTTATTGTAATTTTGAAACCTTTACACCTCTGATTAGTCATTCTCGTTTTCACGTGGATAACCTTTGGATTTTTATATTTTACTTATTTCCACCTTACTTCAATATCTACTCTATACTAGAGAGTCGGATTTTTACATACCCGTGAATGGACAATAAGAAATTGTAGCAGAATAAACACTGTCGGTACTCTGGAAAATGGACCAACAAACCAAGAAATAGGGCCAGGACCTGATCCCTTTACACCCTCTACTATGTACTTATGAATCTTTGATGAAGCGATTAAAACCAAATGATTTAACCTCCATCTATTCACTAAATTCCCTTTACATTATACTCAATTGTAAGTGCAAATACTCGATTAAACCTCCTCCTTGTATATTTATAATTGACATTAGCCTTTATGATTTAATTAAATAATTATGTAATTAAGGAGATACTTTTAGTATTATAAAACAAAAAAAAAATTCAATAAATAAAAAATTCGTGCTATTATGGTTTAAGTTCAAACCAATAACTAAAAATTATAAAAAAGGCATTTGTTAAAAAAATGAGGATTTAATTCTTTAAACTTATGTGGGAGTAAAAAACAAATATTTTAGTAAAAGCAAACAAATATTTTAATACATTTTTGACAGGTTCTTCTACACAAATAAATTGAATTTATGTTGGTTCTTATTATATTTGTACATACTATGTAAATTTGTCAATTATATTTTGTGTTCATTATTATGAGAAGTAAATTTTCTAAACGCAAAATAGATAACTTATCTTTAGATCCCAATATCTTTTAGGATAATTCTATATCCTTATTTCTAATGAGAATATATTTATAGGTCTTTCTGGAAAATACACTCTTTATTACATTCTTCCTCATGATACTAATTCATTTGTAACCCACCTTTTTAATAAATCATCAATTTTTCTATCTATTCAAAATTTTAAGTCATAAACACAATAGATAGGCCATTCTAATAATTTTTTCTTCTTCGATAATGTAATTTTCCTCATATTGAGTTATCTTCCAGAAATTCACTAATATTACATTCAAAAAATTAGCTAATAAATGAGAGAGAGGCACAAGTAAAATTGTATTAAGATTTTATTAAGCTTGCGAACGATAAAAAATACATGAAAGGATTTCCTAATAAATAAGAAAAAATTTGAAGTTTTAATTGAATCATTAATAAAAGAGAAATAAAGGCAATTTATCTAAAAACTCAAAGCTATTTAACACGAATGTAATAAGTAAAAGCCAATAAAAGTGTTCACTAACTTTACATGTATTTTAAAATTTTATATAGACGGTAACAGATTTTCTGTTTATGTTTGGTAAAAGGATTTTCATATAATGTAACAATGTTTGCAAACAATAATAATAAATTATGGATGTAACTAAAAAGGAAACAAATAAATTTTTCCAATAAAAATGTAATGACTAATATTAAAACTGTTAAACTGTTTTTATAAAGGGATTGCGGGAAAATAATATGGAATAAATTTAAAACATTTCTTACAATTTGTGCAAATGTTACCTAAAATAAATAGCTATTGTCCATCGGTCTATGAATGTTTCTTAAACCATTTTTCTTTTGAAATGTTTTTATTCTCAAAAAGGAGGAAAGATGTGTTTTGGTCCCATCCTTTTCTCATTTTGTATTTTAGAAAAAAGTCATATAAAATGGAAAAAACTAAAAAATTTTAGATGGATCCAAAAAAAACGCCAAATCGAAGATTACCAGTCTATATTTTCTTAATTCGCACTTTAAACTTTACTTTTTTTTTTTGTTTTCCTATTTTCCTTCCCCTTTTTCTTTTCTTTTATTGTTTTTTTTTGAAATTTATTGCTCTTCTTGTAACGTGAGGAACACGTCCTCCATTTTATGTTTTACTTAATATATACCCGAAACAACCAAAAGAATATAAACAAACACCAAAAAAATAGAATTGAAATTATAAGTTCAAAACAATATTAATTTAAAATTTTGTAAATATTTCCTAAAGACCCCCGTATTTTCTATATACTCTCGTTAACTAATGGTGTAATATTCGAAATTATCAAAACACAAAAGGGAAGTCTAAAATTAAATTCTAACATAAAAATTAATATTCGACCATAAAGTTAAAACACCTTTAGAGTGAAAATAAATAAAGATAGAAAATAAAAGCTAAATAAGAATAAATAATAATGTCCCGATGAATAAAATGCTGTCAGTAATGATTCACCTTTTACCTGAAGAAAATTATGGCTGCAAAAAAAAATTTCATTATACAATAACAGAAAGTCATCACGAGAGATAACATAAAAAAATTGTAAAAAGTTCCGCCTGGAGTTTTTTTTTGTGACTGGCGTTTTAATTTCGATTTTTTCTGAGTTCCCTTGTTTTCCTTCCTCTTTTTTTTTTGTTTTATTACTTTTCCCTCCTTATTTTTGAAAATTTATCACGTGAGGAGCAGACAAAAGAATAACCAATCTTTAAAAATGAAACATTTTCTGTCATATTTCGTAATATTGAGCAAAAAGATAATATGTCAAAATAAATACTTTATAGGGACTTCTAGCAGTTATCGAATAAATTCGAATTTTTCTTGAAAGTAATTTTGTTCTATCTTGAGACGTTTTATGGCTATAGATTGAATTTCAAATCTTTTTATCTTTCTCTGCTAAGTGATTCCCCATGATTGTGTTGGTTGGAGCTTTGACGCACTTATAGATTAATTAAATCCTATTAAAAAAAATACTTTTTTTGATGTGGTTTTTCTTATTTGAAGTGGTTCTTCAAAAGAACCATCCGGTGCTACCAGTGAGGTTTACACGTATTGGGCCACCCAGTAAATTAAATGAGGCGAGGTATCGACACCGTGAGGGCTACTCTATCTTCAAATACAACGTTGTATGTGCTCCGTTAGAAGCAAAGCTTAGGCCCTAATTGTTGCGCATAAAATAATATTTATTTAAATGTAAAATTTAAAATCGCGATTGAATAAAGTAAAGTTAAAGCTAACAAAATTATTAATAATATAATTGATTATAGAGTCGACATTGAATAACAAAAGAGAACGTTCCCGGGAAAAGAAATTTAGCGCTTATTAATAAACAATTAGCTAGCGTCGCTGCTCTCCGACAAAGTGATCGCTTTTCTTCTCCCGTTGGGCCCAACTAGACTGATCCCTTTCAACTGTTTTCCCATGCATTAAATAATCCTATCCTTATCCTTATAGGGCGGGTGCTTAAGTGTTCTTCCTGCTTGTCAAGGACAAGCACGGCCTTACAAAATTTAATTTTACTTTAATTTTTTTAGTTATTTTTATTCCCTTATTTATTATTCTTTACATCTTATAAACTCTCCATTTCTTCAAGTAGCAAATTGTTAAAAAATTTAAAATATGGACATCTCGAAAAAACTCTATGACGAATATCAGATTTGTAATCTCGTTTTGAACAAGGCTCTAGTTACAAACTCATTCAAAGGAGATCTTATATGTAATAGATATTGGATCGTGATGAACTACTGATCGATATTTCAGTGACCAAAATAAATTTGGAAATATCTGTCTCTAATCAAGATTTCCTCCCTATTAAATTTTCTCCATATACGGAGAAATGATTTGGAATAATTATTGATTTTTGGTATAATTGAAATAAATATTTAAATTTTTTCAAATTTTTTACTATATAAAACTGTATTAAAGTACACCATTAATTTAATGTTTGACGTATTTTTATTTTAATTCAAATAATATCTATAATTAATTTGAAAATTATTATAACTCTTTTTATTTAATAACAGGTGCAAATAAAAGCTTTTTTTAAAAACTTTTTTAAATATTTTTAAAAAATGTAAATTTAATTATAATATTATGGAAATTTTACCCTAATTAATTCACATCTTTGAGCCGTAATAATAACAGGTGTAAAGTAATTATTTACCTTAGAAAAAGTAAAAATTACTTTAAAAAACCTCTAAATATTAAATAACTTTGCTAAGAATAATTGGAAATTATATTTGAAATAAAAATGCATTTTAAAAATTTTGAATATTTATTTGCCTATGTTGAATAGATATGAAAAGATATATGTTCTTATTTTTGGATTAAGAGAGAAAGAGTTCAGAGATACTACATAAAAATTCGTGTAATTTTAATATGTTTTAATGCAAGTAAGTCTTATTTCGTGTCATTTTTTCGGGTACACCCCGATGTACCACCGAAAATAATTTAGTTCAAAATTATCGAATCAGGGAGCCCTGGTATGGCTCGATTCAGCTCGTCAAGGGGACCAGGGCATCTCGAGATCGATAATTCTGGACGAGATTATATCTCTGCGGAACATTAGCATTGTCACGATCCACATTTTTAGACTAGAAAATGTCTGTTTCCTGAATAGGAGATATTCGCTTAAACTAAATCTTGTTTTATTTTTCTAAACTTTCATTATAATTTAACAAAAAAATTTTATAATATTATTTTACTAATTTCAAATTTCAATTAGTAGATTAATTTATTAAAATGAATAAAACAAAATGCTTAGCTGCAGAAGCATCAGTTATTAATATTAGTTACAATATTGTTAGAGCATTACATCTTTTATTGGGAATAATTGTTTTATTAATGCTTTTAAGGCTTGTGAGGACTTACAGAACAAAATCGCTAAAATTACATTCAAATATTATTGTAAATTTTTAAAAAGAACAATAATTAAATAAAAAATTAATTTAAGTTAATAATTTCCAATATATTAATAATTTATATGTTGTTGGTATTGTCGTTTATGGGGGCTGCAATAAAAAATTTTGTAATTTTTTAAAATTAGAGTAACAGTTAATTTAATTACAAAGATTGTTCTATTCACATATACGAATCCTTGTGATTGTTTGTTAAAAGTTTGGACTGTTTATTTATTTCGTATTATTCCAAACATTTATAATTTTGGTTTGTCTTTATTACATTTTGCTTTAATGATTGAACGTATATTTGCTACAATTTATGTCAAAATTTATGAAAAACAAGGAAAAATGTTTGGAGTTATTAGCACAATTATTGGGGTAAATTTTGATATTCCTATCAAGGAATTATTGGATAAAATAATTTCACTGGGGAATTAATCCACTAAATTATCAATCTGTGAACTTAAGAGAAACCATAAATTGATGTGTACTTCTTTTAAAACAGTTACATAATTTATCTAATCTGTCCCCAATTTTTTTTCAAAAAATTCTGTCCAACAAGTTTCCTACTTATTATCTACTTTGTCTATTTTTTATAAATATTTTATTAATTTTTAGTGGTCATCAATAACAATTTTTGCTATTTATGTTTACATAAGTTCATCTATGGAAATTGAAACATTTAAGTATCCAATGCCTTATCTAAGTTTAACCAGTATTTACAACTCTCAAATTCTTTTTAAATTACACTATTTCTACCTATTTTTGGTAATATGTATTGCTTTTGCTGATTATTATTTAATTCGAAGAAATCAAAAAATTAAATCAAATTTGTAAGAATTATTGAAAAAGAAAACATTTTTAATATTTTAATTTTTAAAGTTTTAGTTCAACAACAGACTACAGCCTCAGTCAAAGTTATCAAGCTAAACAAAATATTCTTGTTATGAGAATTATCTTCCCTCTTGATTTTTCTTATACTTTTGTTTTTGCGATATTTAATATTCTATCATTTTTTATCAGATCATTACGTGAAGATTATGGAATACTTGTATATGTTCGGAAATATGATGCTATATTTTTGGTAAATACAAAATTATGCTTTTAATTCAAATAGTTATTGAAAATTTTTTTCTTTAAGTTGCCTGTAATTCATATCATCATAACATTGTTTGTCTACGAATATTTTTTGAAAAAACAAGATGAAATAAATCATAATTTTATTCAAAATAGAACAAAAAATAATACAGAAATTTATTTTAAACGACTTAATTCTCAATGGAATTAATTTTTAATTTTTATATGTATCTACATTATAATGTCTATATACCTTAAATTCTAAAATATCTCCGGCGATTAGTTTTTAGTTTATGTAGTCTAATTTTAAAGAAGAGATATCTTTTCTCTTTTTCTCCGTTTTGTTCTAATCATTTCGTGATAAAAAAGTATTTCAATAGGCTCTTGTAAATTTGAGAAAAATTATGTAGAATTGTTGTATTATTTGTCAGAAAAGAGATACCTATTTTAGAGTAAATAATTATTAAATTTTAATTATTATAAATTATTATTTAATTATATGTAATTAATAAGTTTTGAATACATAATTTGTGTACCGGATATACAAAAAATTATTTTTTAGCATTTAACTAATTTAATAGTTAATTTAATTACCCTGACAGGTGAATTAAACATAGATAATTATTTTTTGTAAAATAATAAAATAACCTCTATGTATATAATCAAATTATTTATACAAATATAATTATATACTACCACACCCTTATAACGACTATAAACATTAAAATTAAATTCAGATTAATGCAAAAACATTGAATAAGCATAATTATTCCTTCCATAAATTGTTTTTTCTCCAATTTATTTAAAAATAATTTTATTGGAAAAAATCAGAAAAATGAATGAAACACAATGTAATGATGCTGAAGATTCTGTTCGGGATATTTTATTTAACATTGTTAGAGTATTTCATTTTATTTTTGGAGTAATTATTGTTGTGATGGTTTTTCGGAATGTTTGGTCTTACAATACAAAATCTTTAAAATTTCACACAAATTTAATTGTAAGTTTAAACCTTTCAATAAAAATGTGTTTGGAAAAATTCTGGTTAAATTATAAAAAATTGACATGGCAGTTTATGGGTCCAATCAATGTAAGTATGATAAGGGTAATATGTTAGTTTTGATCGGACTCGTGATCGGACTCGTAAACTTTCATTGGACTCATAAACTTTAAAAAATTAAAAGGCTACTAAACTAGACAAGAGCCAAAAATAATTAAAGTATTTACTTTTTTTATAAAAATAAATTTAAAATTATCCAAAAATATTAAAACTTTTATAGATATTAATAAGCAATATTCTAATCATCTATTTGCTCTTGACATTGTCTTATATTGTTGAAGCTTTTAATAATTTTGTAAATTGATTTAATTAAAATTATTTTAAAATATTTTTTTAGTTAATTTTATTTACATATTCAAACCCGTGTGATTGTTTAATTCAAGTTTGGCTTGTTTATTTAATTCGAATTCCAGATTATCTTTACATTCTTGGCTCTCCATTATTTCATTTTGTTTTAATGACTGAACGAGTTCTAGCAACAATTTTTGTTAAGATTTATGACAAACAAGGGAAAATGTTTGGGGTTACTGCAACTATTATTTTGGTATAAATTATTCCACTATTAAAAGTATTTCGAAGATAATTCTCTCAAAAAAGTGAATTTTCAAACTAAATTCTTATGAATATTATTAAGCCTAATTTGGTTTTGGGGATTATTTAGTCTGATCAAGAAATTAGCTTTATTTTTGGAAGCACCCTAATATTGTATTCAAAAATACCCCTAGCATTATTATGCCTTGAAATTAAGCTTAAGTTAAGTTTAAACCAAAAACAACAGTAGTAGAAAGATATTGTTTCCGTGGTTACATTGAATAATTTGCCTATTTAATTTGTCAACAACGACAGTTTGGACAAAAGAATAATTTTAAAAAAATATTTATATTTTGTATAATATTTAAATAATTTTAGTGGTCGTTGAATTTTCTTTTTGCATTATATGTCTATCTAAGCTCTTCCTTAAATTTTGATCAGCCATTGGCCTATATAACACTTACAAATGTCTCAAATTCTTTTTATCTCATAAACATTCATTATTTTATTTTTATACTTATAATAAGTATTGTTATTGGAGATTATTTAGTTATTAAAAGGAATAGAAAGATTAAATCAAATTTGTAAGGAATTAAATTTTTAGTAATTTAATTTAGAATTTTACTTTCAGTTCAGCAACAAATTATAGTTTAAGTCAAAGTTTTCAGGCTAAACAAAATATTCTTGTAATGAGAATAATTTTCCCTCTAGATTTTTCTTATACTTTTGTTTATACAATATTTATTATTCTTTCAACATTTATTAGAATGAGACGTGTTGAATATGGCCAACTTGTTTATATTCGCAGTTATGATATTTTAATGACGGTATGGCAGGTTTTTTCACTTTTTCAGTGCCAAGTTCCAACAATTTTGGAAAGCCTCTTTTTATGGTTCATGGAATTCTGTCATAGACCTCGGGTAATCCTGTTATAACTCTTAAAGGCCTTTCCTTTTCCACATTTTTAAAAACATTTTTCTAATTATTTTATAATTAAGTTACCTTTGCTTCACGCAATTATAACGTTGATTGTCTACGAATATTTTTTGAAGAAGCAAAATGATATTAATCAGAATTTTAGTAAAAATAGTGCAAAATATACTACTGAAATTTATTTTAAAAAACTTAATTCCCAATGGAATTGAATATCTAGATATTTTAATTTTTTAATTAAAGATTTTTCAAAAAAATAATATAAATTATATGCTTATTGATAATAATATACTTATAGAATTTTTTAGTTTTGATAAAATTGTAAAAAATATTTAAGTAATAATTAAGAGAATTAATTAAGAGAATATTTTCACTGATAAATTAAAAAACATTCAGAAGAACTATACGAGCTAGTCAATGACAACAAATTAGACTCGGATCTCAATTGTTAGTAGAGCCATGGTCTCATTATGTCAGAGAATAATAGGAGGACCATTAAAACAATTGACTGAGCTTTGTAAAAACTTGTTCAATCAAGTTGTTTTTGGATTTTATTCAGTTTATTCAAACAAATAATTAAAAATGCCAACATCTTTTAAAATAAGTATTTTCAAAAATTTTTATAAACTTTTGATAAATAAAATAAAAAATTAATATCACAAATATACAATTATAAAATTTACAAATAATTTTATATTAATTCCAAGCGTGATTTAATTTTTTAAAATAAATATCTGAACTTAAATTCATGTTCTTTTTAATAAAATATTTGTTGATTTCACTCTGTTTTTTCAAAAAATAGTCGTAGACAATCAAAGTTATGATTGCATGAATAAAAAGTAACTTTAAAATTTGAAAGTTAAAATTTCTAAAATTAATTTTAATTACCAAAATAATAATATCAAAAGCTCTAACATAAACAAGCTGACCATATTCTTCACGCTTAGCTCGAACTATACTCGACAGAATATTGTAAATAGTGAAAACAAAAGTATAAGAAAAATCGAGAGGGAAAATTATTCTCATTACAAGAATATTTTGTTTAGCTTGATAACTTTGGCTAAGATTATAAAATGCTATTGAACTGAAACTTTTTAATTTTTAAAAATATAAAATTTAAAATAATTCTTACAAATTTGATTTAATTGTTTTATTTTGTTTAATTAAATAATAATCTATAATAGCTATAATTATAACCAAAATTAAGTAGAAAAGATGGATATCAACAAGCATCTGAGCGTTGTAAATGCTTGTAAGTACATAATAGACCATTGGATGGCCAAATGTTTCAACATCGATAATTGAACTTATGTACATATAGATGACAAAGAATAATGTTAATGACCACTAAAATGTTTTGAAAAATTTAAAAATAATCACAAAATAATTACCACAATAATTGTGCTAATAACTCCAATCTTTTTTCCTTGTTTTTCATAAATTTTGACATAAACTGTAGCCAAAACTCTTTCAATCATTATAGACAGATGAAACAAAGGGGAGGCAAAGGTATAAATATAGGCAGGCATTCTAATCAAATAAACTAACCAAACTTGTGTTAAACAATCACAAGGATCCGTATATGTAAATAAAACAATCTTTAAACCGATTATTAAATATATTTTGGTAAAAATTATCTTACAAAATTTTTAGCGGCTCCAACAATATAAGACAATACAAAAATTGCAATAAGAATTAACACATTGGTAATTAATATCTTAATGATTTATTAGCATTATTTTTTTGTTTTCTAGTACGATTCAAAAAAGGTATTTAGGGCAGTGTGTTTTTTTGGATAACATTAACAAATAAGGGCTTTACATATTATTAATTACATGTTATTTCAAGTACTGGGTATTCAATAAAATTAATTTTTGGAAATCATTTCCTGATATTTCTGATATTAATAAAGGTTTTAAAAATTTTATTTAATGAAATTTATTAAAGATTCATAAGAAAGTTTTTTGTTCGATATTTGGGAAAATCACTTTCATTTTTAAATTTATAAACTTTAATAAACTTACAATAAGATTTTTGTGCAAATTAACAGATTTTGTTTTATAAGACCAAACAATTCGAATTAATAATATTAAAATAATCGTTCCAAGAATTATATGTAATATCCTTACAATATTGTAAACACTATCCGTAACTGCCGTCTCAGCTTCGTTGCACTGTGATTTATTCATTTTTTAATGATAAAGATTTAATTTATTATTTTATTTAACTAAAAAAGTCAAAAATTAAAATACTTAATTAACAATAAATTTTTAAAATTATTTGTAATTAAAAAATTTTTCTTAAAAAATATGAGAAAATTTCTTTAACAAGATTTTGATTTTATATCCGTGTAACATAATTTGGAATATAAATAAATATTCACATACAAACACCCCCTTAAATATTTTTTCTGATTTTTCACACATTAATTTAATTAAATAAATTTAATTTATTTAATAAATTTTGTCTGAAAAAATTTTGGATTTTCAAATTTTTAATAAATTTAGTCATAAAATACATAGAACAAACTTTCCTGGCTCAAAATATGTATATTCTTCTAGGAAAAACTAAAATAAAAAAATTTAATCTTAACAAAAAAATAGAGATTTAACTAAAATTTATAAAATGGTATATATTTTTTTAAATATAATTGAGTTTTACTAATTTGGAAATAAAAATAAAAGAAATTCTTAACTTTGTCAATAAAGAGGAATAATTTAATTATTTCTCTAATAATAAATTTTTAAAAATATATATTGTAAATATTAAGATATACATAAATAGTAGATTTAACTAAATTTCTATAACAAGTAATAAGCTACCTAAGCTATAAAATGGTATAAAAATATCATCCATTATTTTCTAAAATTTAATAATTTACACCATCATTTTTCAATATTAAATTTATTTATGGTTATTTAAAAATAATTTTTAATTAATTAGGAAAAAATTTAAAAAAATATTAAAATTTGTAGTCAATTAGAAAGTTATTTATATTTTTTGTACTCGTTTCTTTAAAATGCCAATTTTGGAATGCTTTGTTTGCATGTACATAAACGAATAACACACAATGTTTTTGAAAAAATTTGAATGATCAAATTCATAAATTAATTTTTATGCTTTAATGTATTGCAGGGAGGTGGAGGAGATAGTATACCTAATTAATTTTAATAAATAAAAAAGGAAAAAAAGAAAATTTATGAAATTAGTTTGCAAATCCCCCTTTAAAATGAGGATAACCCTCTCGGAGAATACAAAATATTTTGTAATATCCAAATAAGAAAGTGATTTTTACATATTTTCGGGAATAATTCCCGTACCATAAAATCATTAAATAATAATTTAAAACTATTCGTCAACAAAATTTGAAATAAAAATCTTTCTGAAAGATAACAAATAAAAAACATAATTTTTTTTCTTTATCGAACACAAATAAATAAGTGTGAAACAATAAAATAAAACTCCTGGATCCACAGGGATCACTTATGGAGAGGTAACTTACAAAAAAATCAAATACAATATGACGGATTTTAAAAAAAATTTTTAAATTTAAATTATTTATTTAATATCTAAATAATATTTCAATTAGTAAAAAATTCAATAGAAAATTTATTTCCAAGCAGAATTTAAATTTTTAAAATAAATTTCGTAATTCATATTCATATTATTTTTAACAAAATTCTTTCTAATTTCATTTTGTTTCCTTAGAAAATAGTCGTAGACAAATAAAGTTAAGATTGCATGGATGAAGAGTATCTTAAATTTAAAAATTCGTAACATTTATAGTTTTTATCAAACTTTATATAAATTTATAACTTCTAAATCTAAAAGTAACAAAAGGCTGACAATAATTGGAGTTATTTAGGGAAATAACAGTCCTGTGAAAACTAACATAGACTTTTTGTCTTTTGATTTACAATTAGAAAAATGAGGAAGATCAACAAACCACCCAAAAGTCTGAAACTTTCTACCTCTATAACTTGTTTATTTTTAGAGGTCGGGGGATAAAAAGCCAAAAATTGGCAATTATATGTACGATGGTATAATATTTATTTAAAATTTTTTTGTTTGCTTGTTAACTTATAATTTTGCTTAAAAGTTTTCAATTTACCAGTATAATTCCATCTAAAGCTCGTACATAAATAAGTTGCCCATACTCGTCACGTTTATATCTTATAAAGCTCGAGAGTATATTGTAGAGTGCAAATGCAAAGGAATAAGAAAAGTCAAGGGGGAAGATTACATTCATTACAAGGATATTTTGTTTAGATTGATAACTTTGGCTAAGACTGTAATTTATTATTGAACTAAAACTTTAAATAATTAATTAAAATAAATTTAAAATTATTACAAATTCGATTTAATTTTTTTATTTCGATGGATCAAAAAATAATCAATCATAGAAATACATATAACCAAAAATAAGAGGAAAAAGTGTAGATAAATATAGATTCGTGAATTATAGCTGTTAGTTAATGTCAGATAAACCATTGGATGACTAAATGTGTTGACATCAATTTGTGTTGAAAAATAAATGTAAATAACAAATAATAATATTAATAGCCACTATATTATTTAATTTAATTTTAATTATTATACTAAATATTTAAAATAATTACCACAATAATTGTGCTAATAATTCCAATCTTTTTTCCTTGATTTTCATAAATTTTCACATAAACTGTAGCCAAAACACGTTCAATCATTATAGCAAAATGGAATAACGGAGAGCCAGCCATATAAATATAAGCAGGCATTCTAATTAAATAAACCACCCAAACTTGTGTTAAACAATCACAAGGATCCGTATATGTAAATAAAACAATCTTTAAATTAATGTTTAATTCAAAATTTAATTTAACTAACAAAATTCAAAACAGCTTCAAGCATATAAGAAACAACAAGAATTGCATAAAGTAAAAGTACATTGCAAACTAGTATCTAAATTTTAGTAAATATTTTTCTTCAAAAATTATTTAAAAAATTATTATTTTTCAGACAATGAATATGTATTTTACACTAGATATAAAACATTAATTTTCGGCAATCTCATATATCAAGATTTATTCGACACGTATTATTTATTTGTCAATTTATTTTTTAGTGAGTAAATTTTAATTTCAAATCATAGATTGCGAAATGATTAATTAAATATTTGTATGTATATTAAACCTACAATTAGATTTGAATGAAATTTAATCGGTTTTGTCTTGTAAGATAAAACAATCCATCCTAACAATAATAACACAATTAATCCAAAAATAATATAGCAAGCCCTTATTACATTGTAGCCAGTGTTAAGTAATGATGCTTCTGCTTCTTTACAATGTGTTTGATTCATTTTTATTTTAAATAATTATTTATTTACTAAATTAATTTAATCATTTATTGATGCTATATTTTTGTCTCAAAAGGAGATAGGTACATATTTATTTTGTTTAAAAAGTGACGAAAATATACAATACATATGTAGTTTGGTTAAATTTATACACGGGCCTGTCGCTTTACAATAAAATAATTATATTAAATTAAAAATAATAAAATTAAATATTATGGAGATATGTATTTCATATTGTGAAATCATGTGTGTGTACCAAAAATATAATTTAAAAATTATTTTTACAAGTTGATAAAGCATTGTTATTAAAACAAAAAGTAAATAACTTATTCACATAAATGAAAAGAAATTTTAAATAATATTTATGAGAAAATTTCTCTAATAAAAGATTCTAATATTTCCCATAACAATACAAAAACAATTTATACCAAATTTCAGGTTTAAATTTTTTAATTATTTTTAGCTTGACAGCCATTTTTAAAAAAATATATTAAATTAAACAATAGAATTATAAAATTTATATTTTACGAGTAAATACGTCACTAATAAATTTAATAAAATTAAAAAAAAATAAAAAACAATATATCCAAAATAGGAAAATTATTGAAGTCTTAAAGACATGTAAACAAAAATAAAATTTTTTAATAAAAAAATTATTTAAAATAGTTTCTAATTAAATATTTATACATATCTAATAATTAAAAATTGAATTAAAAAATACTTAAAAATTTTTATCTAAATTTCAATAAAAATATTTTTAAACTCAAAGTCGACTGACCAAAATATCCGATATGATTAATAAACCTGAACGCTAAACAAAATTTTTAAGTAAATTTATAACGAAAAAATGTTTTTGGTATTAAACAATGAGAATAACAAACTACAAAATTTTATAGTCAATTAATTTCTATTTTTAAATAAATTTTAAATTAACAATTTATGTTAACTACAAAATAAGAATAAATAATACAAAATCTTTTGACATTTCTTAAAATTAAGAATTTAATGAAAGGAAAATAATTTTAATTTAGAAAATTAAAAAAAAATTAATTATAGTTTATAACGAGTTCTGAGAGTTTTGAACAATTTTTTGATATTGTAGATGTTTTAAATTAAATATTTAAAAAATTATTTTTGTCTCGATTCATGTTTCCTTGGTAAAGCCAAGAATAAATACATTTTTTCCCATATACTTACATTAATATTAACACTTTTTTAAATTTAAATTAAAAATTAATTTATTTATCAAAACTTTTTCCATCCAATTTTCAACTTAATTGTTCAACTTTTTTGCAACACTCCAACTTACACTTTAAATAAATTAATTAGATTTTCCTTCAATATTAAAAATTAAATAAACTAAAAAATAAAAAAAATCATAAATTGAATTAATTTTTGGACTTGCTGTTAGAATCAAAGTACAAAATGTTCAAGAATTTAGAATTCTTTTCCAAAAGTTAATAATTTAATGATACAATTTAAATTAATAATTAAAAATTTAACTCAAAATTAATAATTTAATAATACAATTGTAATATCTTTTTATTAATAGAAATGCTATTGAAATAAAATTTTTGAGTATTTCAATAAATTTAAAAATTCCTTTTTTTCTTATTTTTGAGTTGAAAAAATTAATTAATTATTAAATTATTATAAATTTTATTTCCAAGCAGAATTTAAATTTTTAAAATAGATTTCAGAACTAATATTCTTCTTAATCTTTTTCATAAAATTTTTGTTCAAATCATTTTGTTTCTTCAAAAAATAGTCGTAGAGAATTAATGTTATTATTGCATGAACAAAGAGTAACTTAACGAAAAATGTTTTTAGAGATAATTTCGATTTAATTAAAATTACCAAATTTATTGCGTCAATTGCGCGAATATATTTTAGTTGGCCATATTCGCTTCGTTTTGAACGAATAAATGTTGAAAGGATGCTGTAAAGTCCAAAAACAAAAGAATAAGAAAAATCGAGAGGAAAAATTATTCTCATTACAAGAAGATTTTGTTTAGACTGATAACTTTGGCTTAAACTATAGGAAGTCATTGAACTTAAAGTAAATTAAAATAAATTAATTTATAAATAAAATTTACAAAATAGTTTTAATTTTTTCATTTCTATAAATTAAATAATAATCAGCAACAGCGATACAAAATACCAAAAATATTGTAATTGAATGAGTGTAAAGCAAAATTTGAGAATTATTATTGCTTGTTAAGGTTAAATAAGCCATTGGATGGCCAAATGTTTCTGTGTCCATCGATGTGCTTATGTAGATAAAGCAACCAAAAATTAAGGTTAATGACCACTAGAAATATCATTCAGAGATTTTAAATTATATGTAGTATTTTCTCGATTAATTCTCCCGGATAATTATTAACCACCCCCATGTTAGAGGGAGTAATTAATTGAAGGCAATCATTATTATTATTCATAATTAGGTACTAAGTAATATGACCTAGATGAATTGTACGAGATCTAGAATTAGCCTCTACTAAGTATATGCACCAGATTTATTTTTAGCACTAGTATAACCACCAATAATTTTTTTATTTAGTATGTATATGACGCAATTTTTGTTTACATTATGGAGTTATACATACTTGATAGTAATTAATAAGATTGGCAATTATTTGAGGTAATTAATCGAAGAAATACGTATATCTATTTTCTAAATTATTACCACAATAATCGTGCTAACAACTCCAATCTTTTTTCCTTGTTTCTCGTAAATTTTAACATAAACTGTAGCCAAAAGGCGTTCAATCATTATAGCAAAATGAAATAATGGAGAGCCAGCATTGTAAATATATGCGGGCATTAAGATTAAATAAACTAACCAAACTTGTATTAAACAATCACAGGGATTTATATATGTGAATATAACAATCTGAAAATAGTATAATATTCTAAAAACAAAATTTTGCCCGAATTTTCCCACGACCCTTATACCTAATTTGTTTTAGATTTATTTTATTTTCATTTTAGATTTTATTTTATTTTTCAGAAAAAAGATTTCGTTAAGTTATACAGAAGTAATAAATATTTCACGTTGGTACTCTTGTGTTATCTCCCCAGTAGTTAACCCAACGTAGAAGTCGGGGGGAGGGGTCCGGTCAAACCAAAGGGTGTAGGGGGGTTGCGGCTAATTTTCTTTGATTTTGCCGACAATATCCTATGGGTGTAGGGGGTTTTCGGGGGATTTCCTTTGATAATTAGGCTGACTAATTGTCCAATTAACACCTATTGAACAAATCCTTTTGATCTTTGCCGAGACATCGAAGTCGTGGGGTAGGGGTTAATTGTCAATTAGTACCTACTAATTGGTTTTCACTGAATCTAACCCATGAATCGAAGTCGTGGGGTAAGGGGTATACCAATTAGTAAATAATTAATGACTTTAGGTGTCAAGGGGGCTAATTGACCAAATCACAAGGATTAGGGTGTAAGCGACCAATTAGTAATACTAATTGGGTCTCTTTATGCTTACCGACAAATTGAAGTCGTGGGATGAGTGGTACTTGGCAATGGACAGTGGTACTTGGACAATGGACAAAATGGTCAACAACAATGATTTAACCCATACAGCTCTCTTTAGAGCTTTAAATTTAATAAGTGAAACGAGACATTAACTAATTGATTTTTATTTGTATAAACTTTTTAAATTTGTTTTGTTTTAATTTTATTTGTTTCAATGGCTAATTAAATAACAGCGAGGAAAGGATTCCCTTTTAATCTGACGATGGCAGTGCGCGAAATGTACTGTACTTTTTCATTTATTTTAGGAAGAGAAGGTTAGAGACGCAGAGCAGCGGTGTGACTCAAATTCTCTCTTCTATTTTATATAAATGTTAAGTTCTCTTCTCTGTCTTGCAGCATTATGGATGGTCTAACAAGACACTCGAGTCTGATATTTGCTTAAAATAAAAATAGTCCCGGAGGGTTTTCGTACCTTCAACCTTTCAACAAAACCTTCAATCTAACCCAAGCTCTTCCGAATGAGCTACCGACACTTATTTGAAATCTGTTATAAGTTTATTAAAAATAAAATATCGATATTTTGCATTTTGTACCCCTAATTAACATTTTGAAGTTTCCTTTTATTTCTCTCCATAATCTTTTTTCTCTTCTTCACTCTTATATTGCTCTCAAATCTGGTATAAATAAAATGTCTTTTATTAAGAAAATAATTATTGGCATAATGCTTTTGCGTTATTTTTCATTTTAAATTATACCGAACCAAGCGCATACTCAATATTTATCTAAAGGATTTCTCAAGAGTGGCCGCCATTATTTTTTCAAGGGAAAGAGTAGGAGAAAATGAGAGAGTATGCAGAAGAAAATAAAATGAGAGAAAAGATAGGGATGGGATCAAAGTAAAATAAAAAGAGTGAAGTAAAGTTGGTGAAAATATCTCTATTTGAAATAATGTGGAAAAGTCATTGAGTAGTCTAGGGACCATATAAATTTAAATATAAAATTGGGAACCATAAAATTAAATTCTTCAAAAATTTTAATTAAATTTTATTTAATTTAAATTATTACAATTAAAGTTGATTGAATATTTAAAAAATACAATTAAAAAGAATGATTGTTTAAAAGAAGTTTATTTTTTATTATAAGGCGCGAGCAAATCAGTTGCCATACAATTCTTTTTCACGCAATTTGAACACAAATCAATTTTCACAACAACACGTTGATCCTTTTGTGTTATCTTTTCCTGTGATTTAAAGAGATTATCACGGCAAGTTGAACACAAATAGAAGGTTAGGAGGAACTTTCCACGAAAAAGCTTCCAAAGAGCCTGTTTTGGAGGATTTGGTTTTTTAAATTCGGTAGATGTTGTTTCATTCTTTTTAATTTTAGCTGGAATAACTTCAAATGGAGTACCTTCTCTCTTTCCAATTTTTGCTGGAATTTCTGGAGGAGGAATTGTAGGATTGAAAGGAGCAATTTCATTATTATTAATATTATTTATATTATTATCCATTTTAGAACAGGATTAAGATTTTGTAAAAATAAAAATAATGAGGAGCTAATTACTAAGACACTCGCTTATATACCAAGTAATGACCTTGAAAACCGAGTATTTAAGACGCCAAATAATTTAAATTTATTCATTTTGTTATTATTGAAACAAAATGGTCCTCCTCTCTGAAGAGTGCGCACGCATTTTAAATTGCCCTCTCAAATCCCTGAGGGAGCAGCTCTTTCACCCTAAAAATAGAATTTTAATTTTGAAGGAGCTTTTGGTGCGCAAAGTACATACAACTTATGAGGACAGAAATGGGCATATAAAAACGTTCAAAATTGGAGGGCTCTCGAAATATGGAGCAAATGTTACACAGGCTTATGGGCGCCTCCCTCGACCTTTCAATATTTCTGTGGCTGCTCATTTTTATGCACGTCATCGAATCCGACTCCAACATCCATTCCTTCATTGTATTATTGAAAGATTTCCACGCCACATGGAAAATCGCTACTACCCTCTTGAACTTCTTGAACTTGTTGAGGAGGAGCAAAGTGAACGATCAACTCCGTCTACACTCAAACCTCTTATATTTCTATGTGGCTCAAGTTCAGAAGAAAATGAAGAAGAGGAACTTTCATTGTGTGAACTTAGTCTAGGTTGGTAATACACACACTATTACACACACACATATGATCCATACACACACCTTGCTTTTACTCAATATTTAGAATATTATGTACTTTTCTCAAAATTTAAACTTTAATTGTTTAATTATGCTCTTTTACCCCTAAAAGTAAACACTTCTTTTCTTAAATTCTGCTTTTTTAAAAAATTGTAACTTCTATTTCTTAATTATGCAATTTTACCGCTAAAAGTGACAGCTTCCTACTCTTAATTTTGCTTAATTTAGCTAATGATTTTTCTATTAATTAATTATGCACTTTTACCCATCAAATCTTACACTTAGCTCTCTTAATTTTGCTCCTAAATTTAACAAAAATGTAACATTAAATTTATTTGGAATAAAATAAAAAATAAAAAAAGTAAAAATTACATTAAAAGTTTAGTAAATTACAATTATGTATAAATCAAAAAACAGATTACAATGGAGGTGAAATACGAGGACGGGTAGGGTTAATTATATGACCAAAGTTTAATACGGAGAGATTAGAGGGATTGACAATCCCTTTACAAACAATAGGTTTATAAGATTTAAATGAAGGCTGAGAAAATACACAGGCATTTTTAATAGAAGGGCGAAGGGTATTTGGGTACTTTATACATATAGGGTCAAAATCACCAGTCTTTCCAAAATTTAAAACCTTTTCTTTAAAAGTTTCATATCGCAAATCCTGATTCTTAATAACATCCCAGTTGAGAGTCATACCCCTAACTTTCAGCACGTACTCCGGCTCTGCTTGTTGTTGTCCTTTCCTCTGAAGTTTGAGTCCATATTGTTTTGATCCTCCACAGCAGAACTCCATGATATTGTGCGCCGGGTACTCATCAGTGAACTCGCCAAGATGCGGTCCGAGCTGAAGAGGACAGACATTTTCTGGATGGGAGAATATCAAGGAGTCTGTATCTAAAATTTAGAATTATAATTAGGAGCAAATTTTAATATTAATTACCAGTGTATAGTAGAGAGCAACCAGGAGTTCGCACCACTTTTTGCATTGCACGCAGCAGATGAAGACGTGCTGCGGATGTTGTCCAGAGCGACACAACTAAAATTTAAAAATTAATAAAATTTTAAATTTGAAAAAAACATTCTTACCAACATTGGAGCAATCATGCTCCTCAATCCAATCTTTCTTTGTTGAATAACGAAGCAAAAGAATTCCAGGTTTCAGCTCATCTACACTAGAGAGCTCAATTGAAGGGTCGTCCTTGTACTTGCAGTACTCGGAGGAGTCATCCGTTATGAGGGTTTGTGAGAGCCCAAAGTTTCTCAAAGAAAAGCGGCCCCCTTAATTTAAAAATGTTATTCATTAAATTTAAAAAAACTTACAAAGATTGTTCAACATTAATTTAGCTTGGGTCCTCTTGCCTTTGTTGGGTACCATCTTGCTCCTATCAATGTTGATTCCGAATAGCTCCTTGCACTCCTTGATAAATTTGTCCTCTTTCTCTTCATTTCCTTTAATATTTCCATCAAAACCTGAACTGTGAATCTTTTGCGCCATAAATTCGCTGATGTAAGGTTGAAAGAGCTTGTTGTCAGAATTGGTGTATTCCAAGATTCGGAAGAGTTTAGTGACAATATATCCCTAAAAAATTAAAGATTAAATTATGTTTAATATTAAATTAGACCTCTTCAAGCGCAGCATTTAGTTCAATCGAGGTGCACGTAGAAACCCATCCTCTTTGGAGATCGGTGTGGGAGCAACTGTAGTTAGGGAGCACGTCTCCATTTGGATATTTTCTGGAGCATGCTGCACAAAGAGTGAAGAGGAGACGCTCATCCCCCTCAAGTTTCATAGGGAGCACTGGAACATCAATCGTTGCCGGAGGTATAACAAAAACCTTAAATATGTAATTTAGTAACAAGTTTTTTTATAAAAATTAAATAAACTACCTTCAGAATAGCTAACTCAAACGTATTGTCCGATGGTGTTGTCCAACGCACATCCTCGTTGAAAATATGGACTTTGGGGTGGCCGATCGGATATTTAGTCGTAACATTGATGTAGGGGTAGAGAGAAGTCACGTCGTAGTATGAAATCTTCTCTCCCTGGGATGGAGCGTAAAAGAGCTTAAGAGGTCCAGTTCTTCCTCCAAAAAAGCAGGAGCGGATGTCTATTGCTCCTCCATCCATAAAGTTGTTAAAGCTCCTTTTCATTTCTCTGCTTCTTGCCAACATATTCTTTATCTCGCACTCCCAAAAAACTTCAATTTTTACGTTCTGTTGTTTGATGTAGTCGAGACGAAATTTATCCTGCTCTCGTTGTTTCCCTGCTGATTTACCATTAGGGAGGGTAGTGTTGTCATGTGGGTAACATCGGGAGCAGCCATGCCATGCACAACCATTTATTTCGATTCCGATTCTCTGCTCCTCCACCCAGCCATCCAGGCGATACTTTCCTACTTTCTTCTCTCCTCCATCCGAATAAGCAGTCTGGACTTTGACGTTGTTCTCTGATGCATACCAATTCAAAAATTTGAGAGCCAGCTTGCTCTGATTGTCGGCGTTGTCATAGCCTCGCTCAGGTACAAGCCCTAAAATTTATAAATATTAATTAAATTTAAAATTTTTAAAATTGACCTAAGTGATGCTCTTTCAAATGATTTGTTCTGAAGTGACGCATACAAGCAGAGGCGATGGTCATAGCCTCCCGGAGCACGTCTATGCCATCGTGAGCCTTTGTTGATGCTGCTCGTTGTCCAGTTTCTCGTTTGGTGACCTGAAATTTCGGAAAATTATTATTGCTCCTTAAATTTAATGCTCCTTAAATTATTATTGTTCCTTAAATTGCTCCTTAAATTTATTGCTCCTTAAATTTATTGCTCCTTAAATTTATTGCTCCTTAAATTTATTGCTCCTTAAATTATTATTGTTCCTTAAATTGCTCCTTAAGTTTATTGCTCCTTAGATTATTGCTCCTTAAATTGCTCCTTAAATTATTATTATTGCTCCTTAAATTTATTGCTCCTTAAATTTATTGCTCCTTAAATTTATTGCTCCTTAAATTATTATTGTTCCTTAAATTGCTCCTTAAATTTATTGCTCCTTAGATTATTGCTCCTTAAATTGCTCCTTAAATTATTATTATTGCTCCTTAAATTTATTGCTTCTTAGATTATTGCTCCTTAAATTGCTCCTTAAATTATTATTATTGCTCCTTAAATTTATTGCTCCTTAGATTATTGCTCCTTAAATTGCTCCTTAAATTATTATTATTGCTCCTTAAATTATAAAATTATTATTATTATTATTATTAATTACCTCAAGAAATTCTCTTCTAAAAGCAATGAGAGCTGCCATGAGGATCTCAACGTCGTTTGTGCAGTATGATGCGAGCTCCTCATCGAGCAAAAATGGTTTTCTGTTGTTCTGCTCGTACCATTTATCGAAAGCTCTTCTCTTCTCCGGCATCATTCCCTCCGCAAAGTAGTCTGATGGTGATGGAAATATTTCTTTTCCATAGTTGTCAGGCCGATTCGAACGGTGTGGAAAATAAGGCTTATCTTCCACATCTAATCCAAATGCCGGAACTAGAGACGCGAGACTCATGGGCATAAGATTGAAGCTGTCACGGAAGATAAGGAAGCTCTTCTTTCCTATTTGAAGTTTCATCTCGTAGAGCTTATTGCCGTTGTTTATCATAGAGGGAGTAAAACCACGGAGAAAGAGCATTCGAAACACGATCACCATATCAAACCTTCCACCGAAGTGTGAGAAAGCTATAGTGTTGTAATCTGTTGTTAATTCAATGATCCATTTAACGAATTCTTCTAAAGGATCTGGTGTAATAATTTGCCGATCAACTATTGTTTTGACGAATGGTCGTTCACAAAATGTGATGAATCGCTCCTCGCCGCATATTTTACAATCAGAGGAGATGTTGTCAATACATTTTGGACAGGAAATCTTTGCTGCAATAAAGTTTGGCTGATGTTTCCTCTTATTGTTGTCATGCTGATCTAAAGTGTGTTGTGTAGTTTCAAGATCGAATGCGACAATCCTATAAGGAGCAGGCTCTTTCGGCTCTAAAGGACGAATGAAGCATCCCCGTTTGGGATCGTGGAAATTCTGACATATTTTGCAATAAAGCTCGCTGCATACGTGGCCTTTGCGCCCGTCTCTGGTGTTATCTTTTACATCCCAAATTACTCCACATTTTTCGCAAAGTTTGGAGCTCTTACAAAAATTTGATTGAATGTGATGTGTGAAGCAGCTGTTGTTGTTAAAATTTTTGGAGCAGCTCTTACATTTTTTGAAGAAGCTCCCATCAGGCTCACATGGATATTTTGGGCCAACTCTTGAGCATTTTATACACCGAGCCTTACAAGTCATTGCGTGGTTGCTTGGACGGTTGTATACTCTCTCACAGCTCAAACAATATGGGCGTCCAAAAAGACCTCCCGGCTCCTTAACTCCATGAAAATGTTCGTTGTTGTAATAATAAAGGAGCAAGGGTGTATCGTAGTTAGCAGCTCCGTATTTGAAGATAGGCTCATAACGACCAATGGAGCCGAAAACAAAAGCTTTAAATGAGAACCGGCCTTTAAATTGCTTATTCCACAAGTCCACAACTGGCGGAATCCATTCCATGGCATCATAACTAGGCAAATTGTGAGGAGCATTAACCTTAGCCATGAGCTCTGTTGTTTCTTTTTCAAATTTTCCGGCCCATCCATAACGACCGTGAAGGTAGTCGTAGAATTGTCGTTTATCGAATCTTTTGATGTTGAATATTAATGTTGCTAGAAGAGAATAAAATAAACACAGAGTATCGGAGTTTTTGATCTAAATATTCATAAAATTAGTTTGAAACAGAGGCTCATTGAAATAAACCTTGATTAGACTGTGCTCCTTTATCTGGTGATGGACAGAGGCTTTGCTCCCATTGGCTCCTCCGGTCAGGCGACGCACTTCCAAGGCTCTAGTCTTGTCCAGAACCGTTGTTGTTATAGAAAACGGTTTGCCCCACAACGATACTCCTGATTGTTTTTTGCTCTGGCCGACCTTCAGGAATAAATTCAAGATTGCATCCACGCTGTTGGAATTGATCTCTCTGAAAAATCAAAGATTTAGATAAATTTAAAACCATTTAATATTTTACTTATAATTGAATATAAAATTTTTTTTAACAATTTTAATAATTTCGGAATATTTAAACTTTTAGGAGCAAATTTATTAGCGTTAAAATTTCAATTAAATATTTTAAAGAATATGAGCAATTATAAAATCCCACCTTATCGGCACCCAAATGTCCGATTCCAAAAGCTCGCTTGTGATTGTGCATCCGAGCTTCTCCGGCTCGAGCCCTTTGCTTCTGCTTACATTCAACGATTCATTAATACAATGCTGAAAAATTGATGAGAGCAATTCTTCAGGGTCATCCGGTACGTCCTGAATAAGGAATCTGGACCGGCTCTTGATCACATTAAATTTGGTAATGTGATTGATCTCGTTGTCAAGCAATTCAACGTAGTCCGAAGTTGTTTTGCTACCGCTCCCTTGTTGTTGTTGAGCTCCGAAGAGCAAATTTTCAATAAAATAATTTCTAGAGAATTTACGAGGAATTGGTGAAGGAGAAATACTTTTGCGTTTTCGCGGATTCATTTCAACTAAAATTTTAAATTTTATTCGATAAATATCAATATCTCTAAATAAAAAGAATTTTTAGATTGATATCTAAAGAGAAAACTTTGTGAGTATATAGCTAGCAATATAGGAGCAAGAGCAAAACTAAGAGTAAATTAGGAGCAGGAGCAAAACTAAGAGTAAATTAGGAGCAGGAGAAAAACTATAGACAATTAGGAGCAGGAGTAAAACTATAAGCAATTAGGAGCAGGAGCAATTACTTAGGAGCAAGAGTGATAAGGAGCAAAAAGGATTAAAAATAGGATAAAAAAACCAAAATTAACTAGATTTAATAATAAATTTGATAATAATATCATTTTAAATTAATTTTTTTAAAATTTTAAAATTTTTATTTAAAAAGAGCAAAAGAGAGCAGATGTGAGAGCAGAGCAATATTTAAAAAATGTAAAAAAATTTATAAAAATTACCAACCTCATAATATTTCTTTTCTAAAAACAAGATATTTTTAATTAAAAATTTTAAATTAGGTATCAAAAAAATGAGGAGCAAGTAGGTAAAGAATAATAAGACTAAGAGCAATTGGGAAATGAAAAGCAGTGAAAAAATTTTAGATAAATGTAAATTTAACTGTAAATTTAAAACAATTTTTAAATAAAATACTAAAACTTTATAAAAATTACTCACCTGATAATATTTCTTTCCTAAAAACAAGATATTTTAAATTAAATAGTTTAAATTTGGTATCAAAAAATGAGGAGCAATTATGTATAGAATTGAAAACTAAGAGCAATTGGGAAATGGTAAGCAATAGAGAAATTTATTTTAAAAAATGTAAATTTTCATTGTAAAATAAAGTATAAGAGTAAGGAGCAACGTGTTAAAAATTTATTTAAAAATAATATTTGATTATATAGTTAAAATAAGGATCAAATATGAGGAGCAAGGGATACGGAGCAAAAGTTAATCAGCAAAGCCAAAGAGAGCAATGAGGAAAAATACTAGAAAATAATATTATTTTAAAAAATATAATTTTTTATTATTTGGAAAATGCTAAAAAAGTGAAAAAAAATGCTAAAAGTTTAGCTAAAAACTAAAAATGTTAAGATTAAATGATGATTAGATAATCATTTAAATTTGATAAGATAAACGTGCTATGATAAATTGAATTAAAAAGATTAAAATTTATTAAGGATAGAGGATGGCATAATTTAAAGAAATTAAAAGGATGAATAAACCCGAAAATATTCTTAATGAATATCGATTACAATAATGAAAAGAACAACAAGAGAAAAGTTGCCACAACCAGCCCCCTCCCCTATCTTCCCTCTCTTCTTTTGCCAGCTCTGCGCACACATAATTTCTTCTCTATTTGCCAGTCACTTCCTTTCTTTTAATGAATGCCGCGTCTCAAGAAACAAAAACAACAGATGGTGTTTTGGCGGGAAAATTAAAATACTATTATTTCTATCTTATATTTAAAAAGAAAAGCCAAAAATAAATTCAAATTTTTATTAATTTTTAGGAGATTACAATACAATAAGTAAAAAAATAAATTAAAGGGACCATAAAATAAAAAATATTTTAAAAATGAAAAGTTGCATATTTAATAATTTGCGCACAATCTTTGCATACAAAGAATTTATAAGAATAAGTATTTCCTTCTTGAATTTTTATGATTTCTTCTTGTTTCATTCCAAATATCGTCTCAAAGCATTGATTACACCAAGTTGACAGCTCGTAGTTATGATCCAAAAATCCAAGAAATGTGGAGTAGTCCAATTTCTCTCCATTTTTTAACATTTTATTGACTTCCTTTGTTAATGGATGCCAGGAGCAGTCCCAAAATTCTGCTGCTCCCTAAATAATTCAAGTTAACTTTGATTTTTTCGAAACATTTACCTCCAAAACTCTTTGCTCAACAGCATTTTGAGGCATTTCAGTCGGAGAAGCGAAAGTATGAGCCAAAAATGGCTTAGCTCCCTAAAAATTTTAATTAAAAATTTAATATTTTTTAAAATATTACCTCTTGCTCAATATCCTTAAAATTTAAAAAACTGGCGAAAGTTTGCTCCATCAGTATTATTATTATAAATAGTTTTAAAAAACTATAAAATAAAGTTTAGAAAATTTATGTAAGAGAGGAATATTGCTTGTTAAATTATTTTCTAAAACAAAAAAATGAGAGCAAGTGCTCCTCTCATACGCGGAGGAGCGTTTCCATACTCCTCCCATATTTACTTAGGGTTCTCGCAAATAGCCTCTCCATAGCTCTCTCTACCATAACCTCCCGCTATTTATGAAATCAATTCCTTAATAAAATCGAAGCCAAACAAAATTTAAATTTTATTGATTAATTAATTTATTTACAATTTTTGTGACAAACAAGTCAGGGTTAGATTGACAATCCAATAATTTAATATATTGAGGGAACGAATAATTTAGAGAAAGAAAATATACAAGGGAAATACAGTGGTGAGAGCAAGTTTTTGCTAGAGGAGATTGATAGGGATTTACATTTTTTAAAATAGAAAAGTTTTTCAAGAAATGTTTAGATATACATTCACTAATAGGGAGAGCTAGGCTATCAAAATAAATCACTTTTCTTCCTTCTGTGTATATAAGAGCAATCCAATGTGATCCTCCTGCATTTTGAGAGTCCAAATTTATGATGAGCACTGAAGGGAGCCGAGTAATCCTTGTAGGAGGAGGCCCGTCACACGGAAAACATCCCTGAAATAGTTGGCTCGTTAAAGGGTTTGAGTTCAAAATTTTCACTATTTGACTGCTGTACATCTGTATTATTATATCTTTTTCTTTGATAAATTACCCAAAAGAAGGATCGAAGTTGATAAACAATGAGACTTAAAATGAGCACAAAATAAAGTCCAATCATACCCCAACAAAAAATGTGCCCATAAAGATCATCTCCAGGACTCTCCTTGCAAAGTTGTATTGTTGGAAGATTTCTATTCGGAAATCCTATTATAAGAGGTAAAGAAGTAGTAGATGGTCTAAGTTGTTTAATAAATTCGGAATACTCAGGTAAACTTTCCAAATTTACATCTGTATCTTTAAATAAAGAGTAGGAGCAAGGAGCAAAAATTAGAGTAAAAATTATAAATTTCATTTTAAGCAAAATTATTTAAAATAATATCAAATGGTGGTATCACTTGCAATAGTTCGGTTTTTATCGAGCATAATAAGAGAGTCCGCTTCTCCCATTACAATTAACATTGCTCCTCCTTCTGGAACGGCCTGGCTAAATTTAATATTTACTGCAGTCGTGCCGTTTCTTATTAAATCAAAGGAGCCTCCTTGTTCATCTCCACTATTGGTAAGATTAAAGACATAAATACAGCTACTTTGGCCAAATTGTTGATAAGTAATCCCGTTGCTCTCACATGAATTTGCAAAACCGAGAGCATCGTTCATATCATTAAACGCTCTAGCATATTTATAATTTCTATAATCTAGATCATAAGGAGCCTGAGGATAAGACCTTCCATTGGCAATAATACTAATTTCTCTGACATTGAAATGTTGGAAATTAAACGGACTGCGCTCAACTGTACCCACATAATCCGAATTTGAAACGAGACCTAAAATTATTCTCCTAGGGATTTGATCCATGAATATATTTGAATGAAATTCGTAACGACCATGGCTTATAAATAACTGTTTCATCATTGTCTTTCTAATAGCATAGCGAGCTGGTTTTGTATCAAGTTTTCTTGTAATATCTAAAGCCAGTCCATCCATGAGCTCAACTTTTTTAACATAGAGCTTGCAGCTCACTACTTCAAAATGATAATTTGTTGCTTGAGCGAGAGCTGGAGGGGTAGGAGGAGCTATCAATACAAATCTATTATCATTCGGTAGAATCTCAATATCAACCTCACAATGATTAATTAAATATAGTGGTTGATTAAAGATATCTGCGTCTAATTTTGAAACAAACTGGGCCGTTCTGCTGTTAGTAAATAGACTTTTCCTTGAATTAAAAGAGCTCCCTAACTGCTGATTTGTTCCAGGTTCATAATAATAGCCAGAAGAATTTAAGTGAGAGCTCTTTGCTCCTGCTGAGTAAGAGAGCTCATGAGACAAATAGGTCTTGTATGCGTAGAGTGAGTTTGAGTTGAAAATTTCTCTGCCATTTACACTAACTCTCATATTATTAATAAAAGTTTTACCAATCATTTGTATTGGTGCCGCATTTTCGTCTAGGGTTAAATTTACAAGTTGACCACTAGCATTTTCTTTCCGAATGCGAAATTCAGTGAGTAAATAACATTTTGATAAATCAATGTAGTTTGAACTCGAATGAATTTTAAAGTGGTAGGGAGTATCTGTGAGAGGGTTACTAGGAAGAATTTCAAATACTTTGGAGGAGGAGATGCTCACATTTGTAGGAGGAACATGAAAAAAGTCGAGAGCATTTGTTATAGAATTGATACTTTCTCCGTCAATTTTGTGGAAAGCCATAATTATTTTAAATAATTTTTAATAGAGACCAAAAGCGTCTTTTCGTAATCTTTTTCTTTTAATAAATGTTTGATGAAGTTTATCTAATTCTCGTTTCCTTTTTATACTCTTTTTTACTCCTGTTCCAAACTGTTTAGGGAGACCACCTTTCTCCAACACACTATCGATTCCTTTTCTTCCTTCACTAACTAATGCTTCTTTTATTGGCTCTCCCTTGTTAACTCTTTCTAAGACTCTCTGTCCTGTGTTAAGAGCTTCCGCAGATACAGTACTTCCTACTCTTTGAATAATAGGGAGTATGAACCGCCAGAGACCTCGCATCACATCACCAACGCCTGCTCCTCTTTGACCATAACCCCTTTGAAAGGGAGGAGCTCCTCTGAAATAATTATATTCTTCTGAAATACCATTTCCATTCATCTCATTAGGAATGAAATTATTATAGGATACCGTACTTGTATCAAAAATAATATGAACCATTTTTTAAATTTTATTTAAAAGTAAAAATGAACAAATTTTAAAAATGAGCTATTTATATAGAAACGAAATTAAGATTTAAAAATTTATCACTTTTTTAAAAATTAATACAATATGAACTGTTCCGAAAGCAAAAGGGACTAATCTTCCATTATCCATAGTTCTTAATTCAACTTCAATTTCATTAATTTCTCTAGGGAGCACACGCGCGTAGATGGGTGAGTCATAAATCTTCTCATTGTATTCTCCCGGCACTGCACCTGAAATAGAGACAATTCGAAGAAGAGAGCTGAGGGAATTTCCGACAATCATGTTTTCTGTCAATCCTTTGGCATATATGACAAAACTTGAGAACCCTCCTCTCAAATCACAACCGTACTTTGCAATTTCATCATTATAAACATTATTAGGATTAGAAAATCCTAAGACATACCCAAGTTGAGGGGAGAAAGAAATCGATAATATGCTTTCGTTTTTAAAAACTGCCTTGAAGCGAGAAAAATCCTTGAGATACTGTAATTCAATTGAATCTATTATATTTTTTAGAAGAGTAAGATTAGGTGTTGCTTCCTTCAGTTTGTAGTCTTTACCAAATAGAACTTCAAACAATTTGTCAGCTCTTGAATTGTATTGCTCCTTCCTAGATCCCTTTAATCCCATAACTCCTAATACAGTAGGCGAAGCTGGAGGTGTTGTCTGTGTCATATTGTCTTTCTTTTTAGCCAATCCTAGTGCAGACAAAACAGTAGATGGAGGTTTTTGTATTTTTTGCTCATCTTTTTTCTCCTCTTTTTTCGAGCTCCCTAAGCTATTACTATCCAACACACTCGCAGGACGTTTTTGTGATTTTTTCTCTTCCTTTTTATTGCTCTCCAACCCTGCACTACTTGAAACCGATGATTTTTGTGTACTATTTTCTTTAGGTTTCTTCTCATCCTTTCTTGATAAATCTAAAGCACTAGGAGTAATAGAGTCTGGAGGTTTTTGTGTAGTACTAATTTGCTCTTTTTCAGGTTTTAGAGATGGAGGTTTTTGTGTAGTACTAATTTGTTCTTTTTCAGGTTTTGGAGTTGAAGGTTTATCATCTTCTTTATACCTTGGAGGAGACTTCAATTTCTCTCTAGGAGTCGGAGGTGGTGGTTTATTTTTCTGCTTCTCTTCTTCCTTTTTACCTAATCCTATACTAGTCAAAACACTTGATAGTTTTTCTTGCTCTTTTTTCTCTTCCTTCTTATTTAACCCTATAGAACTCAAAGCACTTGAAGGACGAGTTTGAGAGTGTGGCTTATCTTTCTCCTTTTTCTCTTCCTTTTTAGCTATTCCAATAGTACTCAAAAGGTTAGAAGATGGCTTTTGAGTCGAAGGTTTTTCTTGCTCATTCTTATTTTCCTCTTTACTCACTCCTATATTACTTAGAACAGGAGGCTTTTGTGTCGGAGGTTTTTCTTGCTCCTTCTTATTTTCCTCTTTACTCACTCCTATATTACTTAAAACAGGAGGCTTTTGAGTCACAGATTTTTCATGGTGAACTTGCTCTTCCTTCTTGCCAGGCTTTATGGTACTCAAGTCGGTAGAAGTTGGTTTTTGAGGAACACTTGGCTGTGCCTGTGGCTCTTTCTCCTCTTTTCTTTCTTTCTTTGGTTTTGGAGGTAGAGTCTCCGCATCCTCTATTGTAGAAGGTATTGGAGAAGATTTTTCTTTCTCATTTTCTTCCAAATAAAGTGGTGGGGTTCTTGGCTCTTCTCTTGTTGGAGACGGAGTTTTATCTTTATTCTCGTCCTCTAGATATAGGGGCGGGGTTATAAGTTCTGGCGAAGGAGATTTTTCTTTATTTTCTTCTTCCTCCTCGTATAGTGGAGGAGTTTTTAACGGAGGAGATATCGGTTCATCTTCAGAGCGTTTAATCCTCTCCGCTCTTGGAGGAGATCTGAGAAGAGATGGAGGAGGAATAAATGCTCCTGGTTTTTCAACAGAGTCAATAGCATCAGACTGATGTTTAAGTGTTGTAGATAAATAATTTCTGAGAGCTTCAACACTATTATGAGAGGCTGCAGGAACTGGTACTTGGAGAACATTTTTCTTCAAATTGTCATCAATAAAATGTATTTTCATCCATTGCTCATCAAGAGTACCAATTGTTGACGGCCAAGAGAATGGGTAGCTTATACTGTGTACTCCACAAACCCAATTACCTGAAAAATACAAAGGCTTGGGGAGATGAACTCGAAATTTATTTGGCTGATTATCCGGGTAATCTGTAGTATTGCTTTCAAGAAATACAAAGAAACTATTTGACATTTTTATTTATAGAAAAATTTTTTACAAATAGATGAAAAATTATAAATTGATAAACAATGAAACAAATGAATGTCTTTTATACTAATTGCGACTCTGAAATCCATTCTCGTTTTGGATATCCTATATATTTTACTAACAACTCATATGTTCCATCTGACCTCTTTCTCTTTCTATAAACCTTTTCAATTCGGTACTCAGTATCTGCATCTTTTCGCACACGAGCCAGCTCCTCTCCATAGAAGGAGCCTTTGAATTTTTCGCCTTTCTCATCTCTAACTTTGTATCGAATTGGTTTGACCTGGTTAAACACCTGATCAACTTCTAAAATTTCATCGCCCCAATTTGGAATATACCCTTTTTCAAATGCTCCTTTCCCAACACTCATCCTTACATTTTCTCCTTCCTTGAACTTTGGTTTGCCTTTTGTAAAATCAAACCCTCCATAAATTTTCTTCCATACCTCCTGAGCGTTCTCGAAATTTACATCGATAGGTCGCATTCCGTGTACTCTACACTTTGACTTATTGATTCCTTCAAGAATTTTTGGCAAAACATCAATCCAATTGAGTATTATGTTTTGAGAAAAATATCGATATAGTCGCTGTTTAACATTGCGGATTGCTCTCTCAGCTAATGAAGCTTTAACTGTTGAATGGACTGGTTCAATCTTTTGTATCTCTTCTTTTTCAAAATATTCTTTTAGTAATTTATTGCGAAACTCCAAGCCTTTATCTGAAAATATTCTGTGTGGTTTCATAGGCATTTGACCCATGAGGAGCTTGAATGCTTCGACCATATCTTCAGCTTTCTTTGCTTTGACAGGGACTCCAAAGAGCCTTTTTGAAAGAACATCAATTCCTAGGAGCAAGTATCGATTGCCTTTATTATGTCTGGAGAGAGCTTGAAAATCGGCCAAGTCTACTTGGACATCTGTCATAAATCCTGCTGCTATTGTTTTACTTCGAGGAAAATGCACCCTTTTTGGCCGCATTAGAGTATAGGTGCGGTGTCCTTCCAGAAAATTTTGTACAGCGCTCCTGGGTATATCTTTTTCAATTTTTCTAGCCTCATGCCATAAACTATCAATTCCTGAAAACGCTGCAGGCGATTCAGGATTATTATACAATTGTTTTAAGAGTTTAATATAATCTGTCATTTTTCTTAAATTTACCAAAGTGATGGTTTAAATCTCGAAGAATTCGCTTCTTTATTTCTAGCTTTAATAAGGTTTTTTGCCCATAAGCGGCCCGCCCTTTCTGATTGGCTTTTTGAAACAGATCTTCTCATTCGTTTCTCCTCCCTTTCTGGAGAACCCTCCCTTTTCCGTTTAAAAAGTTGTCGCGATATAGGAGGTGAGGGAGATCTACCGTCTCTAAGTATTCTATGACGTTGTCGAGATGGTTTGGCTCTATTCAGTAGCTTTGCCACATCATCACGACGCATTTGTTGTAATGCTCCATGATCAAGTGGTGCTTTAACGTTTTGAGCAGCTTTCCTTCTTTGTAATAGCTCTTTCCTTTTTTGAATTTGCGCTGTTTCTATTTGTCTAGTCCTAATTTCTTTGTTTTCATATGTATTCTTTCTTTTTTTAACCCCTTCATTGTTATTTGAATCTTGCTCTCTCTTTTTAGTTTGGAGAGGAATAGGAGGAGGAGTCAATGGAATATTTTCATTAGTAGGAGGAGAAGGATACAGTGGAATATTTTCATTAGTATTGCTCTCATTTTCAATATAGGAAGAATATCTGGCCTTTCCTTTCTTCTTTGGTTTCTTACTCTTTTTAATATTTTTTGAAACATTTCTTAACTTCTTAGAATTGATATTATATTCAGGTTTAGAAGTACTTGGTTGTGTAGGAGAAATAGGAGGTGAAGGCAATTGAGGAGCCTCGTAATTTTGCTCGGATGATGGAATAGAAGGAGGAGGAACAAGATTATATGCTCTATTAGGAGGTTGTGTTGGATATGATGAGAATGAAAGATCATCGCTCATCCACAGATCGTCATCATTTTCATTGATATTTGTTGAAGGATGGACTAAATTTTGTCTCATGATAGCTCCTTTTGGAGAAGCAACGAGCTCTACCTTAACAGGGCGATTCTCTCGCTCATTCCTCATACTTAGATAACGCCTCAGCTCCTGATTGTAAAGAATATTTTTTACTGAAGACCTATTCTTTTTAATTTTGGCTCCTTCAACCTCTCTTCTTGCAAAATCAATATTTGGTTCGCCAGTATCATAAGTTGTAAGTCCTCTGTAAATATCTTGAGGGACGAGAACAAATTTATTTGCCATTATTATTATTATTATTAAATTTTAAAATTAATTTTTGCTTTTTATAGTAAATGATCGCGCCAATTCGATAAGAATAGGAGTAATGAGCGCTGCAAATGCTCCTACTCCAAACCCGCTCCCTTTTTGATTTAAAACTTTTCTAGCTCCTCTCTCGCTCCTGGCACGGCTCATACGCCGAACAAAATCTACATATGGTAAGAGACGTTTCTTTTGACGAGTAGAAAGATTAAATCTTGATTTGACAATATTTAAGCAAATTTCTGCTAAAGACAAAAGATGTTGAGAATTTGCCACTTTTAAGAGTCTCCTGGTTTTTTGTTGGGACTTTGTTCGAGCAAGCTTTTGTAAAAATTCAATATTTTCTTTTACTAAATTACTAACCATTTTAATAACCGTTTTTAGGAATGAAAATTATTTTTTCTTCGTCCTCTTTAAATATGTTTGTCCGAAGTTTCAAACTAGGATCTGAAGAGGCATGCATATCAATAAGTAAATATCCATAAGGCTCTTTAGTAGCTTGTTTATATGCGTCAAGGAAATAATCTAATTGACGAGGAAAGAGTTGTACCCCAATATTGCGGACAGATAAAACAGAATTTGGAGAGCGCATGAGTACTAAGTATTGAGCATTCTGGCGAGCAACTTTTATTTTTCTCTCGAATAAATTTTGGGTGACAAAGACAACTGAAAAATTTTGATGATGCGACTTTTTCGTAAAGAGCTCAGACAAATATTTCTCATCTATCGAAGTGAGCAAGTCATCGAGGATAAGGAGCAAAGGTTTTGAAAATTTTTTAATAAGCTCCTCTGGAGGAGCACCTGCATATACACTTACACCGGATTTTTGAAGAAGAGGTACAATACTACTCATTTCACCAAAGCAGTATAATATAGATTTGGGTGTAGGGTCAACTAAATAAGCTGCTTCGGCAATAAATTTTAATAAAAATGTGCTCTTTCCACTAGAGCTCGGACCTGAAACAATCATACCAAAAGGCGATTTAAAATTCAGTTCTTTATTCGAAAATGTGGAAGATTCCATAACAAACAATTTTAGAAAATAAAAATTACAATTAATTGAAAATAATAAATCGAAAAATTTTTTAAATGATTTACTGAATCGATGCTATAGCTTCCATCTCTTCTTTTTCCATCTCAGCCGCTTGCTCCTTCAGAGCTTCCAATTTTTGCGCCTGAGTTGGGATCCCAGTTGTAGCAGCCGATAATTTGTCAAAGAATTCATTAAGTATACCCTCTTCAGGTGTAGGAGGTATGGGGGGTTGTGGTTCTAACGGCGGAGAGACTGGTGGAGTTGCTAATGGCGGTGAAAGAAGAGGAGCAGGGAGTGTAATTGGAGCTTGAGGCTTAGGAGCTGAGAGAGTAGCTTTGATATTAAGAGAAGGAGCAGGAAGAGCTGAAGGTGGTGGAGGAGGAGGTATATTTTCCTTTACATTCTTATTTTCCTCACGACACTTGACGTCGCAAAAACTTCCATTAATATTAAACACTCTTCCTTTATTACGAATTTTAAAAAAACAATGACCAGGTAAGTCGTAGATTTTATCAAATGGTACAAAACGGCTCCCTGAAAAGCGAGTACACCATGTTGTTACTCCCTCCTTGGTGATGGCGAAGTCGAGCTCCACTTCAGTACTCTTACATTCCCGGCATCTTCCAGCTTGATCATAGGGAACAAAGCGGGGAGTGGAAAGGCGGGAGCTGGAAAGTGTAATTCCTATTGAAGTAATACTAAATTCAACCTCCGGTAGGATTTGGGAGGCAAGAAATTTTTTATCGGTCATATTCAAAGCCATATTTATTATAAACTATTTTAAGATTCCAAAATTAAAAATTGGATATGATGAAATTATTATAAATGATTTATGAAATATGAGGAATAGCAGCTAACTAACAAAGTGGTGCTAATATTTACAAGCTCCGCCTTCGAGAACCATTAAAAACATTAATTTATTAATTAAAATTGATTAAAACATTTTTAATTATATTTGAACATTAGACTCTAGTGTTATGTTAGACCGTTGCTCCTAGTTTATATCAGAGAAAGGAATTTAATGTATATATATAAAATAAAAGAGGAATTTGAGTCACCTTGCTTCTACGTCTCTAACCTATTAATTGAATTATTTTTCAGACAACATGTGTCTTGTTAGACCATACATAATACTGCAAGACAGAGAAGAGAAATTAACATTTATATAAAATAGAAGAGAGAATTTGAGTCACACCGCTGCTCTGCGTCTCTAACCTTCTCTTCCTAAAATAAATGAAAAAGTACAGTACCTTTCGCGCACTGCCATCGTCAGATTAAAAGGGAATCCTTTCCTCGCTGTTATTTAATTAGCCATTGAAACAAATAAAATTAAAACAAAACAAATTTAAAAAGTTTATACAAATAAAAATCAATTAGTTAATGTCTCGTTTCACTTATTAAATTTAAAGCTCTAAAGAGAGCTGTATGGGTTAAATCATTGTTGTTGACCATTTTGTCCATTGTCCAAGTACCACTGTCCATTGCCAAGTACCACTCATCCCACGACTTCAATTTGTCGGTAAGCATAAAGAGACCCAATTAGTATTACTAATTGGTCGCTTACACCCTAATCCTTGTGATTTGGTCAATTAGCCCCCTTGACACCTAAAGTCATTAATTATTTACTAATTGGTATACCCCTTACCCCACGACTTCGATTCATGGGTTAGATTCAGTGAAAACCAATTAGTAGGTACTAATTGACAATTAACCCCTACCCCACGACTTCGATGTCTCGGCAAAGATCAAAAGGATTTGTTCAATAGGTGTTAATTGGACAATTAGTCAGCCTAATTATCAAAGGAAATCCCCCGAAAACCCCCTACACCCATAGGATATTGTCGGCAAAATCAAAGAAAATTAGCCGCAACCCCCCTACACCCTTTGGTTTGACCGGACCCCTCCCCCCGACTTCTACGTTGGGTTAACTACTCTCCCCCCATTTTATTTTTATTCTCCTTTCATTTTCCTTTCCCCATAAAAAGCTGATTAAAATACTGTTAAAGAATTATGGTTATAGGTACCCAACTCGGGTTTTAAGGACCAATATACATTATTGTGGTTGTGTATGGTAACTGGATGAATAGGGCCGTCTATTCCCTTAAAATATTCTGGTAATACAGTGAACATATTTTAAATAGAAGTACTGGTACACACACCAACGTTGGGGTTGGATTTCTAATTGCAAAACATGGTAACTCACGACATAGATTCATTTTGACCCATGTGTATTTTTTGAAGAATGAAAAGGGAAGAAGAACAAAATGGGGGGAGATAACACAAGAGTACCTTCACGTTTAACGAACAGATGTCGGTATAACACCCCGTTATAATTTAAATAAATTTTAAAAATAATTTATAAACCTACAAAATTTAAGAAAGCAGAACTAATGTGTGACAATGCAAAAATTAAGTAAAGTATAAATACATTACTCATTAATATCTTAAATATTTAAATACTATAATAATTTTTTATTTTTTTAAAAACTAAAAAACTAAGCTATATTTTCATAAAACATTTCAAAAAATAATTAAATTCTTTTAAATATTTGTCTGGTATTATTACGATAAAGTTTCTAAAGTAAACTTTTGGATTAGGGTTGCCATTTAAAGTTCGAGCCGACGTTCGGTGCATATTTTTCGAGCTTGGGTTTGTTTCAATTCGGTTCGTTTTCGAGTTTTTCGAGCTGAGCTCGATCTTTCGAGTTTCGGGTCGACCGAGCTGGCAACCCTATTTCGGATAGATTTTTGTATTTTTCTACATTTTTATTTAATTTATTTTATACACTTTCAATAATAATTAACTTACAAGTAAATTTTTATGTAAATTCAACGACATTGTTTTGTAGGAATAAATAACTTTTATTAACATTATAACAATAATTAATCCAAAAATAATATGTAATACCCTTACAGTGTTGCAACCAGTATCGAGGACTGACTTTTCGGCAGCAATACATTGAGAGTTATTCATTTTAAATTTTGATAAAGATTTTTAAATTATTTTAACAAATAATTTTGTTAATCTTCTAATTAATTACGTTGATACTTAAAAATATAAAAATGTTTTTAATTGTTAGTTTTAAGATATTATTAAATATACAAATATGGCTTTGTTGAAAGATTATTAACTAAAAATGTAAATAATGGATATATTTATTTTAGGTAATTTAAAAAAATTAATTATTACATATTTCCATTATTAAATAAATATTTTAACATTAAATAACAAATTATTTTAAATTTAAAATAAATTCTTTTAAATTTTATGTCATTTATTTTTAATTGTTATATTTATTTGTAAATATATTTAAAAAGAGAAAATAAAAAATAAAATTTTGCAAAACAAAATAAAAATTATTTATAAATTTTCAGATAAAAAACTAAATATTACGTTGAGTTTTTAATTTTAATTCTTTAAAAACTAAAATTATTTAAACAATTTTAGTCTGATGAAAACCTCGTTTAGTCTGAACAATTTTGATTGGAGAAAATGGGGAAATTTAATTTAAACTTGTACCAAGAAAATTTATTAATTTTCCTTTATATTTATAATTAAATAAAATAAATTAATTGAATAAAAATGAAACAAAAATGTGCTTTACGTTTAAAGATTTTATTAAATTTGTAATAATTATTTTAAATTAAATTAATAAATTGTGAACATTCTTAAGTAATTTAATTTAAATTTAATAAATATTTATTAACAATTACTTTAATTTAAAATATTTTTAATAATTTAAGGTTAATAAAAGCTGTTACTCAATTAATGCTTATTCAATTTAAGCAATTTTGCAGTAAAATCGCAACATTATCTTAATCGAAGTAATATAATTATTTAGAAAATTTCCGAGTGTCAGCGTTGTCGCAGGTTCGAATCTTTCCGTTTCCGGATATGCGGGGATTTCTCAGACTACGCCATCATTATTCGTGACTCTCTGATCTTGATTCGTTCAATTTGCTTTGAATTTAAAATTTTAGTTTTTAAAATACTGCCCTAAGGTGTTTTGGAAGTCGGCCTGGACCGAACTAATTTGTTATCCATTACACACGCCGATTCTGCATAGCTTTAGGAATTAAATATAGCTTATTATTCTGATAGAGAATTTTTTGGATTTTAATAAAAACATATCCTTTTTGATATTTATTGATTAATTACACTAGATATATTTATCGGTGAAAGTAAGATTGCACTTGCATTAATTGTTTCCATACTTTTGCACCTGACTGTACGTACAAGAGTTACTATGAATAAAATTTTAAGAGAGTTAAACTTTAATTTTCAGACAGACGACAAATAATTTTAAAATCATTGCTTAAGCGATGAATTATTCCCATTGAGAGCTTAATTACTAGTTTTAATTCTAATAGAATGTCCCTATATATCCTTTTTCAGCGCCGCAGGCGAAAATTTTGAGAATTTTGGAAGACCAGAAGACAGATTTCTTCCTTTTTCAGCGCCGCAGGCGAAAATTTTGAGAATTTTGGAAGACCAGAAGACAGATTTCTTCCTTTTTCAGCGCCGCAGGCGAAAATTTTGAGAATTTTGGAAGACCAGAAGACAGATTTCTTCCTTTTTCAGCGCCGCAGGCGAAAATTTTGAGAATTTTGGAAGACCAGAAGACAGATTTCTTCCTTTTTCAGCGCCGCAGGCGAAAATTTTGAGAATTTTGGAAGACCAGAAGACAGATTTCTTCCTTTTTCAGCGCCGCAGGCGAAAATTTTGAGAATTTTGGAAGACCAGAAGACAGATTTCTTCCTTTTTCAGCGCCGCAGGCGAAAATTTTGAGAATTTTGGAAGACCAGAAGACAGATTTCTTCCTTTTTCAGCGCCGCAGGCGAAAATTTTGAGAATTTTGGAAGACCAGAAGACAGATTTCTTCCTTTTTCAGCGCCGCAGGCGAAAATTTTGAGAATTTCACAAATACCGAAATACCGGAAAATACCGCGGTATTTTTTCGAGGACCGGTACGGTATCGGTATCGGTATACCGAAAAAATACCGATACCGAAAAATACCGTTTTTTTCAAAATTTGACCGGTACGGTATCGGTATCGGTATACCGGAAAAAAATACCGCGGTATACCGGGAAAAATACCGCGGTATACCGTACCGTGCCGAACACTATTAATTACTTCCCTTGAATAAATTTAGTGTAAATAGTTAATAATGATAATATAGTCAATTAACAGTTGTTTATACATACAAATATATAAATCCATAAAATCGTCTATAATTTTTTAACGTAATAAAATTATTATTTGTTAATATTTTATTTAAAAAATTTATATCCTGGTTGGGTTAAATATTTAGTGTTGGCAATTTTAGTACAAAGGAATTCCTTTAAAAATGAGTAAATTTCTCAAATTCAAAGAAATTATCACTTATGAATTCCTTAATTTTCTTAAGTATTTTTATTACCTTCCTTGTTGGAACTAAACAAGAAAACTGCTCAGTGCCTAGCAATGGATCTGATAATTCGCCAATTGCATGCACAGAAAGTGGAATAGTTAGAGGAGCTAAAGGAAATAGCTTTCCAAATGTTGTATTTTTTAAAGGTAGAAATGAAGTTGATAAAAAAATTGTTTGATTCTTGATTTAGGCATTCAATATGCAGCTCCACCCGTAGGTGATCGACGATGGAAAGAGCCAATATCTGCTGAAAACTGGGATGGGATTAAAAATGCAACCAATTGGGGCCAATTATGTACTCAGACTGTTAATCAAGATAGTACAAAAGTTATTGGATCAGAAGATTGTCTCTTCCTAAATATTTTTACAAGTAATAAAGGGGTGTTTATATTTTCAAAATTTATTTCTAAGCACCTGATTCAATTGGAAAAAAGGCAGATCCAAAACCAGTATATATTTGGATACATGGTGGAGCGTTATCATATGGTTCATCCTCAGCAGGTGCCTGGGATGGTGAAGCTATGGCGAGTAAAGGGATTATATTTGTCTCAATCAATTATCGTCTTGGGCTTCTCGGTTTTTTTACACATCCAGCATTGCGGGAAGAAGATCCAAAGCTTCACGGAAATTACGGGCTTCTAGACCAAATATTTGCTATAAAATGGGTAAAAAACAATATTGCCAACTTTGGAGGAGATCCTGAACGGATTACTGTTGGAGGACAATCTGCCGGTATTTTTAGGTTAAAAAATCGCTGAAATTTTAGTATTATAGGTGCAATTTCGTCACTTTTATTGGCATTTTCTCCTTTGGCATCAAATCTATTCAAAGCGGTCATTTCCGAAAGTAGTGGTGCTTTTTACCCCGATGATCCGATAAACTGGTGGATGACCCCCTATACAGTACAAGAAGCTGAAAATGTCAGCCTGAGTCACCTTGAATCAGTATATGTAAAAAGAGATATCACTGTAGATAAACTGCGTGATGTGAAAGTCGAGCAACTTGTATTTTTTTCATATTTCTATATAAAATTCAAGAATTATACTAATATCTTCTTCAGTATCAACAAACATGGAAACTACGACGGTGGCGTCAAATACTCGATGGATATGTAATTCCTCTGTCATTTAAAAAGATAATGAATGAAGGACTACAAAACAAAGTTCATGTTCTTATGGGTATTTTCAATTTTATTTAAATTATACCTTCTAATAAAATTACTTCAAAGGCTTCAATTATGACGAATTCGGAGCGTCCCCCTCAAATAATGTTACCTTAGAACAGTATAAACGATCTGCAGTTAATAATTATAAAAGTCTTGCAAATGAGTTTATGGAATTATACCCAGCAAATGACGATTCATCTGCAAGTAAGAATAATATGTAGATTTTTATAAATTAGTACATACATATATACATAATTCTCTCCCATTCTCTGAGTCAAGTGGGTTTAAAATAGAGTAGGTCGAGGTCGAGGTTTTTTGAAAAAACCGAGACCGAGGATCACCGAAGCTAGAAAAGCCGAGATCAAGGTCGAGGGGCAAATTTTGGCCGAGGTCCGAGGCCGAGGTTCGAGGATAACCAATAAACTTAAATTCTTCTTTTTATAGCGCCGCAGGCAAAATTTTGAGAATTTTTTGATGGAGAATGGGCTGAATTCTTTTATTTTTGATAAAAAAGTCATCTTTAGGGGTGTATATTTAGCCTCGGTCCTCGCCGAGGTTCTGGGCGAGGACCGAGACCGAGGTTCCGAGGCCCGAGGTCAGCAAAATCGAGGTCGAGGTTTGAAAATGGGCGAGGACCTCGGCCTCGGCGAGGCCTCGACCTCGACCTACTCTAGTTTAAAAGATGAAGGTAGCCGCCGCGCAGTCAAACAAAATTAAAAATTTACTTGAAATTGTCTGTACTTGAATTTAGGTTTACTAAAAATCGAGGCGCGACTGTAATTTATCTAATTTTGTTTGTCTGCGCGCGGGCTCCCTTCATCTTTAGACCCACTTGTTACTAAGAAAATTGGAGAGGTCATTTATTTTAGCGACTGCCACAAACAACGCAATTCGAGAATACAGTATTATTACACAAAATATGTGGGGGCAACTTTGGCTAAAAAAATCTAAAAAATGCTTATATCAATTTCTATGGAAACATCCCCTTCCTGGTAATGAAAATACTGTTGGCACAGATCATGGAGCAGAAACTGTCTATTTCCTTAATACAGTTTCTAAAAAATTCGGTGAAAAGGAAATTCAATTAGCTGACAAAATGTCTTCCTATATTGCTAATTTTGTTAAGAAATATGATCCTAATGGTGGACAGTTGCCAAAATGGCCACCACAAGATGGCAAAAATAATATTGTAATGAGTCTGGGCGATTCTTTTGGGGAAATTCCTTTAGCAGCTAATAATTTGGACAAGAAGATCGATTTAATTAAAAGAAATTTTGCATTAAAAAACATTTTATAATGAAATGGACTTGAAATATATATACGATATCAATCTTTTGCATTGTCAAAAAGAGGTACTTTATGGATATGTCACCCTTCCCCCTCCTATTTTTAGTCTCAGAGTTTTCCTTACGCGTAGAAAATGGTCAGAGATTATTTTCTTCGACATGTCAATCATTTTTTTCAAACAAAATAAGTGAAATTTGGAAACAAAATGAGTGAAATGTAAGTACAATATCTTTGACCATTTTCTACGCATAAGGAAAACTCTGAGACTCAAGATAGTAGGGGGCGACATATCCATAAAGTACCCAAAAAGAATACAAGAATAAATTAGTCTTATTTTCGGTAATCCCGATCGAATTTTAAATAAAATTTTAAACCCTCCAAAACTATAAACTCTGTCATTCCATCATGATAAACCCTAATAATAAATGTATCTTAATATATTTTAAAATTAATAAATTCTTTATGAAAACTATTCAAATAAAATTTATTTAATTTAATTAGAAATAAAATTAGGTAAATTGAAATAAAGCTTTGTAAAAATTAATTTTTTATATTAGTCTAAAATTTAATTACTTCCAAGCATAATTTAATTTTTTAAAATAAATGTCTGTACTCATTGCTGAATTCTTTTTAATAAAATTTTTATTTATATCATTTTGTTTCTTCAAAAAATAGTCATAAACAATTAAAGTTATCATTGCGTGAAGAACAATTAACTTTAAAAATTTATTAAATTTTCTTTAAAAAATTTTTTGAATTAATTACCAGAGTTATAGCATCAATTGCTCGTATATAAATTAATTGGCCAGTTTCTGGTCGTTTTGCTCGAATATAACTCGAAAGAAAGTTATAAATTGCAAAAACAAAAGAATAAGAAAAGTCGAGAGGAAATATTATTTTCATAACGAGAATGTTTTGTTTAGCTTGGTAATTTTTGCTGAGGTTGTAGGTTGTTACTGCACTGAAACTTTAATTTTAAAAATAAGCAGTGTTTTTATTATTAAAATTTTATGCTTTTAGCTCTAATAATTTGTGTTGAATAGTTGGTTCCTGGATCCTGATAATCTTCAAATATTCGGATAGATACACAAACTAAAAATTTTCCGGGTAACAATATTCACAAGCCTAATTAAGGTAAATAAGTAAAGATACGAGTTTAATAAATGGTTTATATTCACAATCTGTCTGGCCCTAAAAAATCGTTCAATACTCCGCAGAATTAGAGCTTAATCCTCTCTAGTCTTCAAATACTTACAAATTTGATTTAATTTTTTTGTTGTGGTGAAATAAGAAATAGTCTGCAATAGCAATGAATATTACCAAGACAAGGTAAAAAGAATGGAAATCAATCAGAACTTGGGCATTATAAGTGCTTGTCAATGTTATATAAGCCATTGGATGGCTAAATGTTTGGGCATCTATAATAGAGCTTAGATAAACATATAAAGCAAACAATGCAGATAATGCCCACTGAAATAAATTTATAAAAAAATTTATTTTTTTTGTTAAATTTACCACAATCATTGTGATAATTATTCCAATCATTTTCCCCCGATTTTCATAAATTTTAACAAAAATAGTAGCAAAAACGCGTTCAAGCATTATAGCAAAATGAAACAAAGGAGAGCCAGCAACATACAAATAAAAGGGGATTCTGAGTAAATAAACTACCCAAGCTTCAATTAAACAATCACAAGAATTTTTATAAGTAAATAGAATAGTCTGAGAAGATAAAATAGGTAAGAAATTAAAAAATAATAAAAAAAAACTCACAAAATACATTACGGAAGTACCCAACTGTGACATTACAAAAATCGCGTAAAGAAATAGTAAATTGCCGACTAATACCTAGTATTTATTATATTTATTAAAATAGTTTTGTTTTGAATATATTTTGTTTTATGTATCATAAATGGGTGATTATCATAAACGAGTCAAGGAGCGACCAAATCACGGACCATACCAACTCAAGGAACGACCAACTTATGGAATGACCAAAACACGGAATATTTTAGAAATCTGAATTTCTCTAAAAATCTGAATATTTTTAAAGAATAAGAATTTAAGAAAAATTAGAATACTTTAAAAAGAATTTTAAAAAATCAGAAAAATTCTGATTTTTAAAAAATTCCGTGTTTTGGCCGTTAGTTGGTCGTTCCTTGATTTGTCGGTTCCTTGACATACCCCTACTCGTTATAAATAGGGAAGGGTATTTGAAGTTCTTGCCTTCCCGTTTTCGGTTAACACGTGTTTTATTGTTTTGGCATTTTAAAAATATTTATTCTCTTCTACATTTATCAATTAAACTTACAATAAGATTTGTATGTAATTTTAAGGATTTAGTCCTGTAAGACCAAATAATTCTTACAATCAAAATCAAAACAGTTGTCCCAAATAAAAGATGGAATGCTCTAATAATGTTGTAACTAGTATCTAGAACAGATATTTCAGCAGCAGTACAAAGTGTTTGATTCATTTTAAATTATTTAAAAAATAACCGGGAAAATTATTTGTTTCTCTAAAAATTTATTTTAAATTAGAAAATTTTAAAAATAAATTTATTTAATGAAAATAAATAAATAATTTAATTTATTATTTAAATTTTTCTTTTTATTAAATATATGCGTGTTTCCAACAGTTTTTCTATACATAATAAAACAATTAATTTACGTAATTAATTTCAATTATTTGCAAAATTAAAATAAATCAAAATAAATAATTGGAAAATAAAAAAACCAAAAAATACCTAATTCTATTCTTATATTTTTAAAATAAAATTAAAACCTCTTTATATTATTTCTATGTCAAAAAAGCCTACAAAAATAAAAATTATTGCGCGTATATAAAACACAAATAAGCTTAGATAAAATTAAAAACCAAAAATTTATTTCAAAATAAAATATAAAGTTTATTTTTTTGTTTTTATTGGATAAAAATATTCTTTTAATGCCTGACATATTTTAAATGTAAATACTTAGAGAAAACTATAAATGCCTAATTATTTTTGATATTTGTGCATAACTACATTTTATTCAGCTGTTATATTTTATATCTTAATTGCAAAAAATTTTAGAATTTAAAATATTTTTGTTGTTTATATTTTCTGTTAATTTAATCAAGTAAATTTAATTAATTCAAATAAAATATTTTTTCTAATTTTGGCAAATAAATAAATAAATAATTTAAAACTAAAATAAATTTTTGGAACACACCCCTTTCAAAACACCTGGTTCAAAAGGTGTGCCTGTTTTTTATCAAAAATATCTCTTAAATATTATTTAAAAAATTAATTCCCGAATAAAAATGTTGCTAATTAAATTAATTTAATGCTTGAAATAAAACTTTTAGTTTCATATGGAAAATAACATATGGCAAATAAAATAAATAAATTAAGGAATAAATAATAAAAAATGTGGAAATGTGTTTTTAAAATTCGTGTACCGATCAAAATTAGTTCCCAATTTTTGCACATGGTATAATAAATGAAAAATGAATGAAAATATCTTTAAATTATTTTAGAATATTAAAGTCAGAATCGTTAAAAGATGCAGATTTCTTGTGGCAGATCTTTGAATTAAAGAGGACGAGGCTGATACGAGTTATATAAAATAGGAGCACGAGTTCCAAGCACTGGTTGACAAGGTGAACGAAGTTTGGTCAGAGAAGTTAAACATAATAAAAATTTTTTAAGTAGAATTGTTCGAATTGGCAAAAATTAGCCTTTTTATATCTAGAAAAGCTCATTCAAGAAGAGTAGTAATTTAACTCAACTAAAATTTACTATGTAATTAAATTATTCTTTTTAAACAATTTTAAAATAAATTTGTCTTAAATGTATAATTAATAAAAAAGAAAGAAGTTGTTAATTTGATTTTTATTTGAAATTGCTATTATAATACATATATGGGAATAAAAAAATTTCTAAAATATTAGAGACAGAAAATTGTTTTAAGAATTCTTAAAAAATTCTTTAACTAAACTGGCAATTTATAAATCGAAAATTATTTTAAAATAAATTTTGATGATGGCTTTTTAAGTTTTAATTCCCTTAAAACTTATTTAAATTTCAATATAGTGTTCTCTGAATATCCAAAAATAATAATGGGTTGTTAGATAAATAATGAGCCCTTTGCGCATTTTTAGGCTTTTTTTATGTCTACATATTCGAATTTCGGTTCAAATAATTTTACATTCACCAGAATCGATAATTCACGCTTTTTTCTACTATATAAAACCATTTTAAAAATAAATTTTGATTTTTGCAGCTTTTTAAAAAATTTTTAAAATTATGTGATAAAAATCTAAAATTTGGACTGTTATTTTGTATTGCTTCAAACGCGATTCAAGTACAATTCAAGCAAAAAAAGAAAATGCCGCCTTGAAGGACACACTTTGGGCATATTTTGCAACAATTCAGCGATTTTACAAAAAATTTCGTAATGGAGATATGGGCCTAGATGCCAAAAACCCCGAATTTGGGCTAAATTTGGGGTTGTACACTGGGAATTAACTCCTAAGGTCAATGGATTGACGGGCGAACTCTACAGAACGATATTGGACAGAGTTCAGATTGCCTTTGATGTTTTCACTGCTTTTGCGGTTCGTTATGGTCAAGTTGTCTTTCAACAGGAAAATGCACCCTCGCATCGCGCGAACGGAACTCGATCCCACATCGCGGAAACACTCGGATGGCAACTTTTATTTAATCCGACTTATTCTCCGGATATGATTAAAATTGTAATCCGACTTATTCTCCGGATATGATTAAAATTGTAAGTGAACCTGAAACAAATAAATTAATATAATAAATATTACAGAAAATGTTATACTAAAAATTTAAACAGACTATTAAAATATATATTCGGAACTTTTACGGTTGGCAATTTTCAACTTTTTTTTAAATTTTCGTTTAACAATTCGAAAATTTTGAAAATTCGCGCAATTAAAAATTCTAAAAATATTTTTCAAAATTTAAACAGACTAAAATAAAATAATGCATATTTCGATAATATACATAAAATAAATTTTTTAAATTAATAAATATTAAATTTTATCTCTAAATATGTAAATATACATAGGTATAATAATTGTACAAACTACTAAAATAGTTAAATAATAATCTTTCATTCTCATTTCCAAGCATAATTCAAACTTTTAAAATAAAATTCTGAGCTGACATTCTTATTATTTTTTATAAAATTTTTGTTCAAATCATTTTGTTTTGTCAAAAAGTAGTCGTAAATAATTAATTTTATAATTGCATGGATAAATAATAACTTAATTAAAAATTATTATTAAATAAAAGAATTTAATTTTACAAGAATTATAGCCTCATATGTTCGCATATAAATTAGTTGACCATAATCATCACGTTTAGATCGAATAAAACTTGAGAGAATATTAAATAATGCAAAAACAAAAGAATAAGAAAAATCAAGAGGGAAAATGATTCTCATAACAAGAATGTTTTGTTTAGCTTGATAACTTTGACTGAGGCTGTAGGAAGTTATTGAACTGAAACTTAAATAAAATTGATATATAACTACTTAAAAGTTGTCCCAGTAAATTCTACGTTATCTACAGTTAAATACTAAGAGGCAAAACGATGACTGACAAAATACCGTAACTGACAATTTAGAATAAAATGCCAGTCAGATTTAAATTAATTAAAATTGAAATAATCAGTCGTGGCGGGAAATTTGTTTTAACAACATTGCATCGTAGAACCTCAGAATCAAGTCCCGTTCAAATTTAGGGGAAATTAATTTTATCTTGTAATTTAATTAAACTACATATACTAAGATATTTTAAAATTATTTTTAAGTATTTTCTTGGCTTTAAAGGCCCTTAAAACTATTTCTACAATTTAATTAAAAAATCCCCATCTTAATTATGTAAATACTTACAAATTTGATTTAATTTTCTGATTACGAAGAATTAAATAATAATCGGCAATAGCAATACATATTACCAAAATCAAGAAAAAATAGTGGAAATAAATGAGAACATGGGCATTATAAATGCTAGTTAAAGTTAAATAGACCATTGGATGACTAAATGTTGAATCTTCTATCGAGCTTATGTAAACATAGAAACCATACAAAAATGTTAATGACCACTGGAATTTTTAAATTAATTTGAACATTTTTTATGATACGAAAAGGAAGTAATTAAAGTTTTTGAGGTTAACCAATTTTTTTATAATTTTTTTGTTTTTCAACCATTTATTTTTAAATGTAAAATGTAGTTTAACTCAGCGAATTTATTGAGTAAATCCAGCTCGACGGGCACATGTCTGCAAAAGGGTTGTGTGCCCCTCGAAATGGACATTTACCAATCTAATTTAATAAATAAGGGTGTTGATTAAAGTAGCAAGGCTGACATGAGCTATCTCCTCCACCCACATTAAATTATAAATAATTTACCACAATAATCGTACTGGCAACGGCAATCAATTTTCCTTGATTTTCATAAATTCGAACAAAAATAGTAGCAATAATTCTTTCAATCATTATAGCAAAATGAATCAAAGGAGAACCAGCAACGTACAAATAAAAAGGAATTCTTACCAAATAAACTACCCAAACTTGAAAGAAACAATCACAGGAATTTTTATAAGTAAAGCTAACATACTTAAATAAAATTTAATTTTTAATAATTAAATAAAAATATTTAATTACAAAATTCAAAATGTCTGTACTCGTAAATGATAAAACAAAAAGTGCATCAAGTAAAAGAACATTAATTACCAATACCTAAATAAATAAACTAATTTATTTTTATCATTTTTTCCTAAAAATCTATTT